ATTCGCTGGTCGTCACCGACCCAACTACTAGTCTGGCCCTCACTGGCTTATCTATGGGAGAGCGGACGGGATCCCGAGTTTTCCAGTGGTATGGTCATATGTGATTATCTCTTTTCAGTTTACAACCTATAACCTGACAATGAACTGCAGTGGAGAGTACTCGGTAGATGAGATACATGTAAAATGGAGAAAAGAATAAAATAAAATAAAAAATTGAAGACGTAATGCGCCTACTTCCTCCAATCTGCTCAAGTGATGATGATGATGATGATGATATTAAAAAAACGCAATGACATGACTGCCTGTATGTGATTTGAAGTTTCCTTCGACAGTGGACACAGGAATTGCCATATAAATGCCAGCTGGAAGTCATACCTGTACCGCTCCAAATCTGTCCTGTATGATCTTCGGTTCTATGGTATGTAGGTAGGCATGTAGGTAACCGGATCTTGCATGGTCTTGATCTTGTTGAATAGCACATGCGAGTATGGCTGTATCCTCTTCGGTGAAGGAGAATGGACAGAGAGGCGGTTGGGGGCTGAGGGCAAGGGCAATGGGCAGCGGCAGCGGCAGCGGCAGGGAAGAAGGTGATGTGAGGTTTTGCTTCCTGTGGTCAATATTTATTGGTGCCCATTCTTGGATTCACTTTCCCAAGATGAAGGGCGTTTGTGACTTGCCGCTGGTCTAGCCATCAACGTGCTAGAACTCATGAATTTGTGTGAATCTTGACGTTCGAAGACCGTTCTTGGATATCCTAATATTTAACAAGAAAATTAACAAAATTGGCTTCGAACTATAGGTAGGTAGTGTATATCTACCTCCGAAATGAGGGAGAAAACAGGAAGAAGCCTGATGTGGAAGTGGTGATTCACGGATGAAGTTACATTATTGGAAGAAAGGAGGGGTAAACGGGTTATGCATCTGCAGCTGTCAAACGCCAGCCAATCGGGGCGACAACCGACCACAAAAAGCCCAATTGCAGATATTCCATCCTCCCTTCTTTTCCTTCCTTGTCTGCGGATAGGCAAATGAACAGAACAATGTGATGAAATTGGAATATCCTTCCCTTCAGTGCACGGCAACCTCAACCCAAGCATCCTCTTTCCCCTTGACAGCCTCTCCCATCATGATACCGTACACGCAACAGTCGCCCACCCAAGTAACATGGTGCCGGTTTGCCCCTTCGCCTTGCTGATCCTCGGACTTCAAAGGCTTAAGCACAACTGGGAGTCTGCACAATTCGAGAATCCAGACTTCATCGCCAGGTTCACACGTCACGGGCCCGAACCCGACCTTGGCTCCTTCGGTGACGAACAAAACATGGTGTTGGAGATATGTGGACGCCCAGCTGCCCTCGTCCCCGTCAAAGGGATAATGGTCTGGGTTTGCTGCGTCAAGTTTGCCCGTCACCACGCCGAGATACTCCTGCATCCAGCCACCACTCAACCACCGCCTGCGTGATTCCTCACTTGCCGACGAGAAATATTCATGGCATCGCCCCATAAGCTCCCCATATCGCGCAGCGCTCGCTGCCAGAACCTGGTCGTCCGGAACCCTTTGTCTCCCCAGAACTTCGCGCTGCTCCACCACCGCGATCCTGTCAACCAAGAACCCGTCCAATCCAAGTACCCGTCCACTTTCGTCCAAAAGCCTCGGACCGCCCCCCACCATAACAGGTCCATCGGCGCAGTATTCATAGTAGAGTGACTTATGGGCCCAATAATCGGCTTCTGGCACTTGGACTGGTACCTTGTGTTCTTCCGTATCGAAGTAGAAGAAGCCATCTGACCATCTGTCTTGCGACCAGTCTATCACCCACGACGGGAGGCCCTCCAACTTGGCCCCTTCTCCCCGTCGGCCCATGAGCGGTTCAAGACTGTTGGATTGCTTGACAAGGGCCCATGAGACACGACAGAAGAGTGTTTGCGCATCCAAGGTGTAGTCGCACGATGGGATACCAGGGAGAAAAGCCGCCTCCTCCTCCTCCTCCTCTCCGGCCTCCTCTTCTTCCTCCTCCTCTTCTTTTTCCTCGTCATCGTCGTCGTCGTCGTGCTCCTCTTCCTCCTCCTCCTCCTCCTCCTCCTCCTCCTCCTCCTCCTCCTCCTCACCAACTGCTCGGCCTTTCAACCCCATCAACCCGTACACCTTATCCCTCAGGTCCGTGGATTTCCTATCGCGCCAGCGATACAGCGTGGATACAGGCTCTTCACCAGCAGACGAGAAACTGATACCCCTCATAACACAAGTCAGGTAGTTTAGCAGCTGTAACCTGTCAAACTCGTCTGGCATTAGATCGCCAACATGCTCATCTCGCCTTCCATCAGTAGGCCCCATGATTGCCTCAGACGCCATGTCAAACAGATGCCACGACATCTCACAGGCGCCCCAATACACCGTCGCGGCAGGAGGGAGGATCGCCTCTTGCACGGTCCATACTCGTGACCACCAGGGCGTTCTAAAGAGCTTGTAGAACGCTTCGGTCTCCCTCAGTCGCAACTCGCCATTCAGTCCCTCCTTTCCGTCATCTTCACCATCCTGAAACCAATCCGGCAGAGCCGGGTTAGGTACATCAATCCCACTGAACCTGGCGTCCATCGCTTCCCCTGCCGCGCTGATCCAAGCGATAGTGTCGAAAGCCGCTTGCGCGTCTTCCTCAGAGACACCTACATCTCGTGGATATCCCAGCCAGATATTACACTGGGTACATGAGGCGTAGATGCGGCGCATAAGATTGACTTGTTGGGTCTTTTCGACGTTGTCGGATTGATTGATGCATACTGCGTCTATCCATATCGTCCTTATACGGTCGGGAAATCGAAGCCGCCGCAGCGCTCGTAGGAGGCTCGCTGAGACTGGGAAAGAGGTATGGTCGATGAGGATTTGAGGCGCCTCTGTTTCTGGGTCGCTGCCGGCATCTTGCCACGCATAAGACAAAGTCTCGTAAAAAGGTATTTGTTGCCCTTCGCTAGGCTTCAGACTAATGACGCGGTAACTGCATGCTATCGGAGAAGACTTGTTTTCGGATGGAAAGATGTCGAGAAGTCGAATCTCACCAGCCGATGAATTGACCGGCGGACGAAGTATTTGATCCGGCGATGATTCCTCCGGAGTCTCCATGCCTGCTAATTATTCATGAGGATTTTGTGTGTTGTGTGGGATGACATATTGGTCAGACGATGGTTGAGCCCAACCTTGAGGCTTTTTGCCAACTCATGAGGCCCCACGAGTTGATCATTTCACTGGGTCTCTATGCGTCAAGTCAGCCTAGAATCATCACCCTTTCCCCAGTTTGTCCTAGAGACGCAGTAGCGTGTGGAGGAGCAAGCGCTTATCATTGCCCCAAAAGTTGACCCATAGCATTGCTGTTCGGCAATTGGCATGTCCTACATTGTCAATTGCAAGCCCTCTTCATCACTGGGGATTGGCAGAAATGTGGCAAGTGGAAAATACAATCGATGTTCGAATGCCGGTAGGACATGGGGCCATGATCAATACACCGGTACAGTACGGAGGAGTGGATCACCAAAACTCGGAGGTCGGTCGGCATCCGGGTCTCTATGTGGGTGTCGGTCGGGCCCGGTGATTGAACGGATTATCTGCGGACGGACCAGCCAAACTGATTGATTTTACAGTTTCAGAAGCCAACATTGGGAAATCATCCCGAAGTACACACCATAGCGGCTTTTCGGGAACAGTTTCCTGGTATATTCCCTTCTGTTAACCACTTTTTCTTATTGTTCACGTCAATACCAAGACTCTTGACGGGAACTTGATCCGATATGGACTACGACTGGACTACTCACCACGCATATGACTGTAACGTCGACGCTCTCCCCTCACCATCATTACGATGCGCATTCTCTACAATATGGTAGTTTCTCCAAACACACTCCTTGAAAGCCCCCCCCCCGCGGGCGCGCTCTCGGTGTTATACCATTGGTGGGTCAATTCTTGTTGTAATTCCAGCAGCAGTTCGGAAGATGGTGCCCCGTTTGTCAATAGAGTACTCCTCGATCAAGCTAGATACCTTAAACTTGGCCTGTCACCACCATCACCATATGTTTCTATTAAGGCCCATTGACGCGCGTCTTTTTTCTTGGCGGATCAACCCAAGATTGTCCATATTGCCCTGTCGGTATCATCTTCCCCAACGACTTTGGAGAACTTATCCTCAAGGGTAAGAGTGGATCGTGCAGCCTCCGTCCCCTGTCCAGCTACCAGATACAGTATGATGAAACGTGGAGAGCCGGATCGCCAAGTCTATCTTCTATCTGAACCTGGTTTAATGGTTTTTTTGGTTTGATGCCACACCCGGATCGAGACGTCGGAATATCCGAACGTCTGGTTTGAGTCCACATGGCTACCTAGGTGCGACGAAACGGGTTCACAAGTTATGACTTGGGTCTAGGTCAAAGGAAGAGCCGCATATAGGAACAGTATATATACTGGAGTTGAGACCCGGATGGAAAAGGAAAGAGGCTCGCTTGTTGTCAGACAGAGGTTGGACAGTCAGCTCAAACTTGAACTCGACAAAGACCAAGATGAAGACCTTTGCGACTCTTTTGGCTTCCATCGGCCTGGTGGCCGCTCACGGCTTTGTTGATAACGCCACTATTGGTGGTCAGTTTTATCAGGTATGAATACCTTATGAATACCTTCATCTTGGACTATACTAGGGAAAACTTGCTAACAACCTCACAGTTCTACCAGGTAACACCATCACCATCACTATGACCCCCGACTTGTATCCCAAAAACTCACACTTCATACAATATGTAGCCGTACCAGGACCCCTATATGGGCAGCGTAAGTTTCCCCCCTCCCTTTACACTTATCATCCCAAACCTTCCCATCCGCTCCTAACTTTCTTCCCCTCCCATCTTCTATAGCCGCCCGATCGAATTTCCCGCAAGATTCCCGGCAACGGCCCCGTCGAAGACGTGACTTCCCTCGACATCCAGTGCAACGCCGACGCCGCCCCGGCCAAGCTTCATGCGTCCGCCGCCGCCGGATCGACCGTCACTTTGCGCTGGACCATCTGGCCCGACTCGCACGTGGGACCCGTCATCACCTACATGGCCCGCTGTCCCGACACGGGGTGCCAGGACTGGACCCCTAGCGCCAGTGATAAGGTTTGGTTTAAGATTAAGGAAGGTGGAAGGGAGGGGACTAGCAATGTTTGGGCTGCTGTGAGTTTTCTTTCTTTTCTTTCTTTTCATTTTTTACTTTGCTCGCTTCGCTCGATCTTACCCATCCTTGATATGGAAAACGTTTATTAATACTGACGACAACGAAAAGACCCCCCTCATGACCGCCCCGGCCAACTACGAGTACGCCATCCCGTCCTGCCTTAAGCCCGGTTACTATCTGGTTAGGCATGAGATCATTGCGCTGCACAGCGCCTACTCTTATCCTGGTGCTCAGTTTTACCCGGGATGCCATCAGTTGCAGGTTACGGGTTCGGGTACCAAGACGCCCAGCTCGGAACTGGTTAGTTTCCCGGGCGCGTACAAGAGTACTGATCCGGGGGTCACTTATAATGCTTACCAGGGTGAGTTTTTTTCCTTGCTTTCTTGCTTTTCTATTTGGGAAAGATGAGGAGTGGGGTGGGGAGGGTGAAGAAGGGAGAGGAGATATGAAAGTGATTGCTAACGGTGATGTGATGGAAACAGCTGCCACTTATACCATCCCTGGTCCTGCTGTGTTTACTTGCTAAGTAGGCAGCCAATCCCCAAAGGAGGCAAGGGAGGCTTGCTTACCACATTAACTTGTTTCAATTTGAATTCCCTTGCACGGAGGTACTTCTACTTTCTACAGAGTCGCTTAAGGCCTGGTTGAATCAAACGGGTCGCCCTTCAAGTACATATCTACACCTTTTCTTATATGAAATGTGCAACTGTCGATGCTTGTACATAGGAAACTCAGTTAGCAATACGAATATGCACACAACTCTTCGGTGCCTGCCAACGATATAAATCCGCGTGTCAACATCACCATGCTTACATTGTCCCGCAGTAGACAATTACCTGATATTTAACCGAAGATGACTTATCCAAGTCATCTAAGCATAAGACACTCCAACATACTTCATCAACGACAATTAGTAATGAGGTTCAATCTCGGCAGCACTAAGAAGAAAATATAACGCAGCGCTCAAACTTCATGACACAGCCTGCTTGTATGTTCAAGCCAGTGCCGACTAGAGAGCCGCAAAACACTTTCAGACTCAAACTCTCTCTACCAATGGTGTTTCCGTTGTGCTTCATAATGCCCACTCCAACCCAATATCATCACATACGACCATAGATAGTAGAAAACTCGGGATCCCGTCCGCTCTCCCATAGATAAACTACCAATCGCCTGACTAGTAGTTGGGTCGGTGACGACCAGCGAATCCCAGGTGTTGTATGTCTTTTTTGGGCTGGTTTTCTCTTTTTTTTTTTTTTTTCCCCCCGGGATCTTGACCGCGGAGACGATAAGTGTGGCGTGTGATGCTAATTGCTTGCGGGCCAAGAAAGGCGCAGATAGCAAAGGATCTAGATGTACTCACAATCTGAAAAGCAGACTCTCGCCGACTTCTCCCTCGGGTTTGCCGATTCCCAGCGAAGTCTTCCTGTACAATACGATCAAAAGCCATAACACGCCTGCATCCAATCCTACACACCCTCTCCTAGGTAATTGGTGATCGCTTCCAGCTTCCCACATCACCCCAGTACCAATAGAGAGACTGTAAAATGGATATCTATCTGTATGCCATTGATTTTGTGCATATCAGCCTCAATAATCTGCAACTTGGCCTCTATGTGCAATGGCTATCCTCCTACCTAACTCCGCGGTGTTATCCCGAGAAGCGAGCAGGTGGTCCCCCTTCTCATGAGGACGGCTATCAGTTTATACAAGCTCATGAACCGAATGACATGGTCCACATCATTGTGTGCAATTCATTACTGAGTTACAAAGGATCCACAAGATCAAAGTTCCTTAGGTATCTAATGTTATACATACAATTAGATGGTGATGGAAACTTTGAAAAAATGACAAGTGCATAACTGCGATGAGGCGTTTGTGCTTGAGTCCAGATTCTAGACAGTGGGCTCCCGCGCCGACATAGTTCGCGCAGCTTACTGTTCAGTAAAAAAAAGAGAGAAAAAAGTCGCGAAGCAAGATATCCATAGGGAAAGTCCGTATGTCTGCTTTAGATACCTAAATAGACAAAAAATATCTCTAGAGAGGCCGGATCGATGCCTGCGTATTGGTCGGCCAAGAACTAGGACGATGGAGATGATCCTCCTCCATCTGGCTAAGAAGCTGGTGCTGGTGGTGTTCCCTCGAGAGTCTTTTTGACGTTCTCCAGTTCGCTGACTGCTTGCGCTTGACGGTCGATGGTGCTTGGCAACGTCCAATGTTAGAAGTTGTCCCACAAGAAAAAAAAGAAAAAAACAAAAGAAGTCTCAAGGCTCATTGAAAACGAGATGTGAATGGCGGCTCATGTTTGAGATGCATGAGATGGGGAGGTAGGTACCTAGAGGTATGGATGAATTACCTTTGTAGCTGCAGTATTTTGAGTCCCTGTATGAGCAAGATGTGCGAGTCCACATCAGCCACGATGGAGGACACTGGATGATTTTTAGTATCAGTCATGAGCTCTGAACTTCAATTTTGGGCGGTTCTTTTTCTCCTTTCTCTTTATCTTTTTCCCCCAGAAGGGCGAGAGTGAAAAGACAACACACATGTGCACTTACACTCCTGGTAATTTTCCTCCAATTTACCCGCAGCCTCTCGCGCTTCTCTCCGATTGTAAAGTTGTCTCCAGACCGACATTGACGCCTCGTAAAAGCCCTCCACATCCCATTGCGATATCAACCGTCTCGTAGCTCTTGCGTAGCCAGCGGGGCTAATCTGTTCGGCGAGATGGTTCTCAATAGCTTCTGTTTCGTTGACGTTGACCTTTCCCTGGTCATAACAATTCTGAACATCCTTGAAAATCTCGCTTAACCGTTCTTCTGGCTGCTTGTCTTCCAGGTCGGACCTTTCTCCGGAAGCATGGCCGGCATGGATTTGATCTCTTCCAAAGCCGACGAAAGATGGATTAAAGAGCCGAATGTAACGTATCTTCTGTTCCAAGGCGTTGAGAGAATTCCTCCACCCCCTTTTCCGGAGTTGGTTGACTATGCTTCTTTCGTTTTGTAGAACTCGGACAATCACAAGATTGAGCGCCGCGAGAGTGAAAGTGAGGAGGCCGACGATGTTTGCGGCTGTGGAGAGTTTGCTGTCCTGAGGCTCAGAGTCGTCAGCCATATTGCGATCCTGGAGAGATGGTACCCATGCATGCAAATGATGTAATGATATGAAGAAACGAGTTAGTGAAGGGTCCTGGACAATTGACATCGTTAGGAGGAAGGTCGAGTTGCGTTTTGATCTATATACGGCTATCGCTGAACAAGGTTACAAGGACATGCGCCGGAACAGTCCACCACCACGGGTCAACCTCAGTCCACACGGACCGCAGCCTGCACGGGCCCTTTAGAGTCACAAGCCATAATGACCCAAGCAAGCCACTCAAGCCAATGGCAAGATACCGGAAAGACGGGGAGGCGGACAACCATGCGCTGCTGTCCGAGTACATTGGTAACGGATTGTGACCTGTTGTGCCCATAGCCGGCGGAAATAGGCACGAAGAAGCTCGACGATTCTTGATTCTTCTCGAGAGGGGTGTTGTGGAAGTTGCGGCGTTGGAAGAATGATGGGTAGGAACACCTCGGACTGAGTGGGTGAAGACGAAGAACAGGTTTCGGGTTGCGAGAGGCCTGTCGTTCGAAGGTGTCAGTTGCGGGCCGTTGATACTGGGGGTTCAGTCGGTGCTATATATCTGACGGGTTGGCGCTCGATATGCGGTCGATGTGTGGTTGCTGCATGGCCGATGATATTGGACTGGGGCCTCTGTCCCCGCTAGGCTACCGGAATCCAGTCCAAGCTGAGGTTCAAGAGGATGCCGTGCATCTTTGAGGATCCCGTTCGACGGCGGCGGTGACGTTTACAGCTGGGTACTGCCCTTGATCGTACGCAAGCGACCGGACAGATAGCTGTCTGTCCGAACATGACCTGATGCCTGTGCCAAGGACATTTTAATGCCCCAATTTCATCCACCGTCAACGAGAAGGCTTGTAAAAGCCAGATCCAGATGCGCTCAGTTTGATGTGTTGTAGTCCAAAGAAACCGAAATTAGCAGACAGAGAAAACCGAGAGATGCCTACAGAGATAAAAACACAACTTGCCGAACCCTCCTGATGCGGCAGAAAGAATTTGTCCCTTCCATAACGCCACAAGCCATAGCCATTTTGAGGACCATGTTTAACAAAACCCAAGAACCTGGTAAAGCAACAAGTCTTTCTTCCGCTCCCTTTCCTTTCCAAGCAGCGCCAGCAGCAGCACCACTGGTTGGTGTCTTCGTCGTCGTCGTCGTCGTCACTCCTTCGCAACCGCTTAGTAGCCACCACGACCACCGCGGCCGCCACCGCGGGAGAAACCGCCGCCACCACGGCCACCACCACCCCTCGAGAAGCCGCCGCTGCCACCGCGACCGCCGCCCCTGCTGAAACCACCACCGCCGCCGCGGGAGAAGCCACCACCACCACCACCGCGGGAGAAGCCACCACCGCCGCCGCGAGAGGAGAATCCGCCACGGCCGCCACCGCGGGCACCACCTCTGGGACCGCCACGACCACCAGCACCACCACGGCCAGCCTTCTTCACCTTGGGGGCGCCGAGAACCTTGGGCTTGGGGAGGAAACGCTCGAGAGGGAGGAGCTTCTCGGAGCCGACGAAGACCTTGTCGCCGGGCTTGAAGGAAGTAGCGACGATGCCGGTTTGGGGCTTGACGGTGAAGTAGACCTGAAAGAAGGAGGAGTGTTAATTCGATGTGCTCTGATTCATGTTTCGGGGGGAAGTGCGCACCTGGTTGAGAGGACCGAGGACCTCATCGATCTTGCCGATGGGGGTCTTGTTCTCAAGGAAGACCTGAGCGTTGAAATGGGGAATCTTGGGGTTGGTGGACTTGTAGAACATCTCGCCCTCGACGGCGTGCTCAAAGGTGCCGAGCTCGAGAACCTGGGCGGGGGGACCATCGTCGCGCTGACCGAAACCACCACGGCCGCCTGTTGTAGGATAACTATGTTAGTTATCATTGAACATTGTAGAAGAAGTATGGGTGAAAAAGTGAATCGCCCTGAGTGGCGCCAATGGTTGACGGCAAAGTGCGACCAAGGCGACGACATCAAGGTGTGCGATAACGGTTGATAATAGAAGAATGATGCGGCGTACCTCTGAAGCCGCCACGGCCACCACGGTCACCACCTCCTCCACGACCTCTGAAAGACATGATTTATTGGTTGGGTTGGGTTGTTTGTTGAAATGGGAATACGGCAAGGGTGCGTCTTGCGTCTCCTCGCGCGTCAGTGAATTGGAGGACCGTCGGGTTCGGAGTGAGATGTTGACAATCGTTCGTTCGCCGGCGCAGACAATTGAAATTTTTCCGTGTTCCTGGAAGACTGAAAGAGTAGCAATTTTTCCCGGCCGGCAATCGTCTGCAGACGTCCCCCACCCCACCTGAGCCAGCCCACTTTCAAACGGTTCCTGGCGGCGCATTGGCTCAATGCGAATTGTGGATGGACCGGGGTCAGTGGCTGCTGTGGACTGTGGGTCCGTGCCCAGGGCCCTAACAAACGCGAATGTGGGGATTTCGACATCACTTTGTGCAGCCCTGTGACTTTTGACGGGAACACTTTCCGACTTCATCGATGCATTTTTACAGCTTCAAGTACAGCAGCATTTCGCCTCATTACACTACACGACGCTCTCAAATTACTGTAATCGTATGGACATACTTGACCTCACCGCCCTCAACCCGAATCTCATGGCTATCCGGCATATTCCCCAGCGCATCAAACGAGCACAGCACGTCAACCGAACCCATCACCTCATCGATGACATATCGCCGGTATCCGTTGCGCTTTGAACTGCCTCCTCTCGGTAACTGACCACCACACGGTCTGGTATACTGCGACCCTTCAACACGCTCACAGTCGGCTCCCCATGGGATACTATCAGCTGCCTTTGCATCCGTCCACATGTCGAGATACGCATCCCCAACCTTTCTCAGCAGTTCTCGACTTGGCCTATTCGCCGCCGTCTCGATGACACCCCAGTTCTCCTTCTGGATGTACCCGAGCGTCTTTTGGGCGTTGAAGAACAGGGACCCCGTCGTGGCGGCGATGGTGTCGATGGATGAGATGGTTGATGTGTCACCATCGGCTGGATGACGGATCTGGGTTGCCGTGACATAGGGCTTGGAGTTGGAATCGCTCGCCAATGAGATGATCATGGTGTAGCTGGCGCAGGCAATGGTGTCGGCCGTTGATCGGTTGAGGCTGATGTTGTGCGATTGGCTGAGGACGCCGCGCTTGATGTCGGCTGCCTTGTTGTTCTCCTGGTAGGTAAAGTTACTCGAGGCGTGTTTAAGGCCGTCAAATTTGCCGGCGGAGAAGGTGGCTACATAACTGTGGGCTGCTGCTAGCAGTCCCTCCCGGACACACTCAGCGAACACAAAAGTAATGAGTGCAAGGAAGCAGACGACGGTGAACCAGACCGTGTCTTTGGCAGATCTGGACTGCATCTTAATGTGAAAGGTAGGTGTTTGGCCGTGATTCGAGTAGCTGTTTCGGCCATGGACAACTTTGGTTCAAGCTGCCCGCCTGAGTGGCTAAGTACTCACTTCCAGGAGCCGATAGCTTCTGCCGATCGTTCATTTTCGACACCGTTTCTTGTGTAGGCTTGCCGTGGATAAATGGAGAGCATTGATTAATTCTGCGGGGGGGCACTTTACCCCAGAGATATCACTTGCTATTCTTGCGATTTCCTGATATTGGCTGGCTTTAGGCTTTGTATCCTGCTCTAGTCTACCTACCATTATTCCAGCATGCTTTCAACGCAATATTTTCAAAGAGAGCCGGATATTGGATATGGTAGGAGAAATGAAAGAAGGGACTGAGCCAATACGACCCTAACCCTTGAATTGCATGGCTTCACAAGCCTCGGCATGTCTCCGACTTTGTTAGCGGGGCAATTCACCCAAACAAAGCGAAAGCCCAGTCCTCAAATTCAGATCTCACCACCATTCCACATCAACAACATATCAGTCAGAAGCAGAAATGACTGGCCCTCTACCTGGACAAAAGACCGTCTTGATCACTGGGTACGTTTATTGCGACGTCGGTTTGCTTTGCCGGAGTGTCCGTGATATGCCCTCTATTCTAGGCGCTCCAATTGTCCAACACATCAATGATCTTTTCATAGCAAATCGCTGACATTATCTTATAACAGCTGCACGCCAGGCGGCATCGGTCATGCCCTCTGCCTCGAGTTTCACAAGCAAGGTGTGTACCGGCAGCTGCCCGTTTCCGGAGCTACAAAGCATCCCGCCCATTGCTTTCAGTTCGAATTTTATCAAACAAAATACTAACAATCTCACCATGAAGGCGTCCATGTCATCGCAACGGCCCGCAACCCAGCCGTCTTGGCCGAGATGGCCGACATGGGCATGAGCACCCTCGCCCTCGACGTCACCAATGCCGAGAGCATCAAGACCTGCCACGAGGAAGTTGCCCAGATCACCGGCGGCAAGCTTGACATTCTCGTCAACAACGCGTACGTTCTGTTCCTCATGCTGCCACACGGTCCCCCATTGTTTACTTTCCCCCTTTTCCCATTAAGGCTTATCCATCCACCATCTATCCCTACTAACCCTCACCCCCCCCCTTCAACCAGCGGCCGCACTCACACCCACCCCGCCACCGACATCGACCTCGACGACGTCCGCGAGACCTTCGAGACCAACGTCTTTGGCGTAATGGCCATGTGCAAAGCCTTTGCCGACCAACTCATCGCCGCCCGCGGGTTAATCATCAACATTGCCTCTCTCGCCGCCATCACCCCTTATGTCTTTGGGAGCGTCTACTGCGCCACCAAGGGCGCCGTGGTCTCGTACTCGCGCACGCTTCGCTTGGAACTCAAGCCCTTTGGCGTGCGCGTCATGACCACCATGACAGGCACCGTCCGGTCCCAAATTGCCTCCAAGACGCACCGCACTCTGCCCGAGAACAGCCTCTACATGCGCGTCAAGGAGTTCTTTGAGCGCCGCTTGACGTTTTCGCAGAACAACGCGACGGTGGGCACGGAGGAGTATGCGAGAAAGCTGGTGAGGAATGCGCTGAAGGGTGAAGCCCCGCTGATTTTGAGGAGCTGGTTTGGCAGGGCGGATTACTTCTGGGCTGGTGGATGGGCGAGACTCGTTTGGGCTGGTACCTTCTTTGGAGACTGGTTGTTGGATTTGGTCATGTATCGCATGTTCAAGATGAACGTGTTGGAGAGGGTGTTGGCGCAGGAGGAGGCGCAGAAGAAGTTGAACTGAGCGAAGTGGGGAAGAGGAAGTGGCGGCACCACTTTGGTTGTTTGTGGTCGGTGGCTTGATATCTGCACAAAGCCTGTTGGGCACCAATGGGTGAGTACTCTGGCTGACCGGTGACGGGCTGATTCAGCCTTACAGCGAGCGTTTCTTGTGTCAAATGTGTATTCGTACACGCCAGTCTGTCGGAGCCTTTACTCTATTATCTATTCCATGACCTCGAACCAAGGTATATCGTTGAGACATGACTGTTACCTTGATCAAATCCTGTTTTCAGTCTATTAACGGCCCTAACCACCTGCCCTGCTCAACAATAATCACAAGCATGTGAAACTATTCACAGGACAGCAGTTTTTCCACAGCCCCGAACATTGTTAACCTCATCATCTAGGTAGCTCTTTCGGCCTATTGATAGTTCGGCTTCTTCGGCGCAAAAGATTGTTGTTCGTGGAGCAAAGGATCAAAGAGCGGGGGAGTTTGCGCGCGTGTTTCAAGTTTTTCGATAGGAGTGACATTCTCGACACAAAACGAGTCGTGCCTGGAACTCCAGCAAGTCCACCTGAAGACGTAGACGTAGTGGACAAAGTCTCCTTCAAAACTTGTGCTTAGTCACTGCCAATATATCATCACAAGAAACCAGACAACATGGACTTTACCGAGCCAAAGTCAAAACGCGCCTCAACGCATCAACAAACCTTCGCCATCTCGAACTCCGCTCACTTTTTGGCTCCTCTCGCTTCTCAGCCATGATCCGCACCCCACCTCGCTTCCGTTGTTCACGCATCTTTTTCTTCATACGTATCTTATTCTTGAAACCCCGTGGCTGAGTTTGGGCCTCTTCCACAAGCTCCCGGAACCCTCTTGCATCTCCTTCCTCTCCTCCATCGTCCGTCTCTCTGCCGCCCTCATCCCGCTCTCCCATCGACCCCTCCCCCGAGTCTATCGGTGATTCCGGCGACTCCCCATTTTCATCATCGCTCAGGTCCATCTCCATAGGCGACCTAATATCCCGCCTCAACCCGTCCGGGTCCGTAACAACCGGCGCGAGAGCTCGAAAGGTTCTTCTAGGCGGGTTCGGCACCTCGCGGTAGTTTCCACCAGGTCCGGTTCCACGAATACGTATGCCTCCTACAGCTGTTTCTGCTGGTTCTTCCAGATTCTGCAGGTGTTTTGGCAGGTGTTGCGGGTCGCCAACGATTTTGAACTTGAGTGTCACGGTGTCGTCGTCAATCCATTTGGGGTGTCTGTCCAGGTAGACGAGTTGCTCGATCAGACCGCCAGCTCCAACAACCATTTGGTGCGGGATCATGTCCTCTTCGCGGTCAGAGTGGATGCTTTCTTGATCGCTGGCGGGTTGTGGTGCTGCTACTGTGACTGATTCCTGTTCATATACTGGTGTTCCTGATACCAGTGGTGGCAGTTCTGATGCTTCTTTGAATGTATCTACCTCTACTGGTGATGATGGATTTGATTTCAATGATTCTACTGGCGATGGTGGCCGTAGTACTAATTCGTCTCCTACTGATGGTGGTGGGATCGGTGGTGGGCTGGGTGAACAGTGGCCGGGCTCCGTGGGGGTATGCAGGGGTGCTTCAGGCGGGATGGGTCCGTTTCCGAACATTTCTAGCCATGTTGATCTCGGCCTAAAGCCGGCGGACATGGAGTCGGATGAATCGGTGTCATCGAAAGTAGAAGTTTGACTGATGTGTTGTGGTTGTGAGCTACTTGGACTATCATTGCTGGACAAAGGAATGACAACATCTGTGGGGTCCGCGGGAGATGGCGGCCCAGACATATGGATTAGGGGCGTTCGCCGACGACCCGAACTATGGTACGTTCGGTGGTGCAGTTCGCCCACGTGTATGTAATCTAAAAAATCCTCGTCAGCCAAATAGTCTTCGGAATCCAGTTCGTGTGACGCTGTTAGTAGTGATGCATGTGGTACCATGCCATGGTTGTAGGGGGTTGACGGGCCCGTGTGGTAGCAAGGAAGTTCTTAAATGGTCACCAGTGGTGACGGTGCCAGATCTTCGTAGGAGGAGGGATTGAACGAATATGGCGGTGGTGTTGAATGATGAACTTGCTGTGGCATGATACCAGGAATATACGTGGCTGACAAACCCGGACCGTCCAAAGTCATACCTGAAGGGGGCGGCGGCAAATAACTGCACGAGCCTGTTGGTTGATCTAGACGCCGTGAAGTGATTTCAATCTCGACTTCTTTCTTGATGTTGTTCTTCCGGAGCTGGTATCGGAACGACAGTCTGAAGAGGGTCACAACATGTCAGAGGAGAATTCGAGTCCAGATCGTGACGGGAAATGAGACATACTTCTCTCTTCCACGAGGGAAAACACGAAATTGACGTGCAGTATTCCAGCAGACTTGCTTTCCCCAGACCCATTCCTGCCCAGAGACGACAAAGTAGTCCTGACTCTTCCTCCCATGCGTGGTGTGCTGAAGGACATTCACACCACCCACTCTGACCTTTACCTTGAAAGCAGACTCGTTGCAGTCTCCGATCATGCGAATTGCAAAAGCCTTGTCATCTGTAAATCAAGGTATTCTTTAGCATAGTGCCTATGAATTGATCCCTATCGGTGTTAACCGAAAGGAGTAACTTACCTTTGATGGCAAGGAAGTGGCTTCTACTTCCCTCCTTTTGCTTCTTCTTGTCTTTGGCATTATCCTCTGTTGGAGAACCATATATTGTGAAGGGAAAGTTATGGGGCCCTGGAGAGTTCTTTATGGTTTCATTTACGTCTGTCCGGGGCTTGCGAACTCGTTGAAAGCGACGTACTGCATTGTCGCTCACTCTGGGGACTTCGAAGAAGGCAATTGTGAAAGTATCGGTTCCAGAAGAGACAGTGATCGACTGGTCATTACTTCGGGTTAGTTTGATCGCCTTGTCGACAGACATCATGGGTTTTGAGGAGGTGTGATGGACATGAGGACGGGAATTTGTTCGTTACCAAGCAATGATGGATCAGCTGGGGGTGCGCTGGGGAGATTGAGTCCATATAGATCGGGGCTCCTCAGACACGGGCAGCTCATAGCTGAGCCTTGTTGGTGGTCACACCGTGGAGCTGGGTGTTGGACATCATAGCTGAATGACTCAACGGCATAGTATTGCGGCTGATGTGCATGGCAGTGTGTCACAGAAGAGGCGAAGTGTTAGAAGGATCGCCGCAACTGGATCGTTGTCAGGAAGAACAATCCGGGAGAGGGAGATAATCCCGGAGGCTGGAATTGATGCAGGACTTTGAGAGTGGTGGGGGACGACTGCGCCGCCTCAATTACACAGCCATTCGATCTGTGAGCGTATAATGCAGCCACCAATGGCGATACTACCACTCAATCCTCATGGCTTGAAGCTCTATTGGACGTTGACACCTCATATTTTGGCGCTTTTCATGATAGTTGTCTAACCATTCCTTGTTCCGCCCATCACCTGAAATACTAAACACTTCGTTTTCATCGCACTTCCGCGGCTCTTGCCGTCTTCCAAACCTTCAAACTGGTTTAACCGTTCAATGCTTATCTTCTCAGCCCTACCTCAACCAAGGTATCGTCTTTATCAGAAAGCAGGATGTCCGATGACCAAGGCGACAGTCCTTTGTCCACTATCAGCAATGTGGTTGGTCTGTTGACATTCACTCTGGGACTTCTCACACTCGTTGTTACCTTCCTGTCTATAACACACAGCGCGGAAAGGGAAATTGAAGACATACGCGAAAAGTTACAGGCGAGAGAAAGCCACATTCGTGAGATAGAATTCCACTTCAGGAGACTCGACAGAGAGGCGCACTCGGACTGGGAAGGCAGTCAGAGTAAAATTGACTTTCTCATGACCATCGAAAAGATTAAACACCATCATCAAAAAGCAACAGTTGCGCTTGATGAAAATAGCAAAAAGCATTACTGGTGGTGGTATAATCGACCTGACGGTAACGTAACCTACCTGGCACCTTCCTCTCCCCACCGAAGGGACTGCTAATCGAAGCTTGCAGTAATGGGTGCCGTGGCCGCGATCGAGACACAATTCCAACATCTGAACACCATCCAGTTGACATTTCTTCTCATGTAATCCTCCTTCATCATTTACCTATTTTGTCGAATGGGGCCCTCTGTTAACGCTGATCCTCCACATCAGTACCACGAGAACCCAGCAAGACCATATTGATGGACTTGAAGCGTCCTTTGGCGAAGTAAAACGGGAACTAAGGTCCGACCAACCTCTACCACTGCATCCTTTTCAAGATCCTAAGCTAACTGTTCCGCGCTGACCCAGAAACCGCTCAGACTCTTAGCTCGCTAAAGAAAGCCCATCCGTCCAAAATCATCCCAAAGGCGAACCCCTTCCATCACGCCTTCCCAACAGAGTCGACCACACTCAAACCCGCCTCCCCTCACAAACCAAAAATGGAAACTCCATCACCGGCCCCTTCTCCATATCCCCCTTCCCGGGCTCACTCTCCACCCTTTTCTGCAATACAAACCCCCTCTCAACTTTAACCTCCTCAAACCCCACCCCCTTCAATATCTCCTCCATTTCCTCCTTGGTAATCCCATGCCTCTCCACCCCATCCATCTTAGCCTCCGGGTGAAACCTCCTCGCTTCCGGTCCGAAATTCTCAAAGTCCGTCGTCACCACCCTACCAGTGCCGGGTTTCAGGGTACCACAGATAGTTTTGAACAGCGCCGCAAGATCAGCAACGTGGTGCAGCACCAGATGCGAAATAACCAAATCGAACTTGCCCTCCCACGCCTCCCCCGTGACAGGATCGATCTTGATGATAGGGTCCTCCGGGTCCTCAAGGAGTGCTGCAACTGGCCGGACATTCTTCACTTGCTCATAGGTACCGCCAGGCGATAACTTGTGAGTGAGAACGTCAATCATACCCTCCGCCGCATCAACGGCTGTGAGGGAGCGGACGTGGGGCGCGAGAAGGAGAGATAGCAAGCCAGTGCCGCAGCCGATTTCGAGGACGTTGAAAGATGATAGTTCTGAGGGAGGGGGCAAGCGGGAGAGGTAGGATTCGAAGGCTAGGGAGGTGGCGAGTTGGATGGAAGGGTTGGAGTCCCAGTTGGCGGCGTCGGCGTTGAAACGCGCATTGCCGGTGCCGGTGATGATTGGGTCTGTGGTTGTAGTGGCGGTTGAGGATGCCATGGTGGGTAGGTGAGTGGTTGGTGTTGTGGGTCTAAGGCTGAAATTGGAGTTGAAATTATGGCTATGGTTGAGTTTGAGTTTGAGGATGTAAAAGTGTTATCAAGTCGTCAAGATGAAAGGAGGGGAAGTTGGAGAAGGAGGATATTACTAAGCGAACTGGGTAGCATGTAACTAGCGTATCAAACCCCCTCTCCTGCCTCCATGGATGAAAGTTTCCTAGAATAAGCGTCGTTGGGGGTGTATTGCTTTTCAGCTTTGAAGATGCTGAGTGGTTGGTACCTTAATCTAAAGCCCAGGCACTAGATAGGGGATGCCATGATGAATGAGATGGCGTAATATACGATCCTCTGTACGGTATTCTTGGTCGGTAGCCGTCGAAGGAGGCAGCTGTAAGACGAAGTATCATTATTATCATCGTAGAAGAAACACCCAAAAAATAATGATTCCCTATACCACCAAAGTGTGTACCCCTTTCTACCTCAAGTTAATACCACACATGTAAACAAATCAGCCTTTCAAGGACACCACTCCACCAGCGTCCACACATCACCCTTACTTTCTTTGACCGTGTCCCCAACTTCCTTCGTCTTTCCTGGCTCTCCCACGCTGATCATCTCAGGAATGAGCGCCTCCGGAAACACCAGGGGCTCATCCAGGTAACTCCCATCCTTCTCATCCACTTTCCGTTTCTCCTCGCCACCCACATAACCCTTAACCCTCGCCTCCAACCTCCATACACTCTCTTTATTCTCACCACCCGCCCACTTCCACCGCTCACACAACAACTCATTTCCCCTCCTCGAAATTCCCTGAGCCCACCTTCCCACCTTCACAACCCTCCCCTTCTTATTCTTCAACTTATCATCCAACTCCCAAACAACACAATTCACATACAGAGGCTCCGTCGCCCCTTCCTCATCCGGTACCCAAACCTCTTCATACTCCTCCTCTTGCCCACTCTCAGGGTTAACCATCCTCCCCTTTTCCAACGCAAGCTTCTCATTCCCCTCGCCAGGAATCCGGTACATATCCCCCTCATCAGCCGCCGCCTCGTCGGGACTTGGCCCACCCCCCGCCTCAGTGTGCAAAACCCTAGAATCAACCCAATGCGTCCACCTCCCCCTCATATACGGGTGCTTCCCGCTCTTCAAATCCGCGGTCGTCCCATTGACCGTACGCCCATCAGGCAGAATCAGTTTTTGCCCATAATACCCGATGGTAGGGCGGGTGGAGGTGTGCGTGGAAGTGCCGGCTATGGCCCAGTCCATGCGGGAGAGGGGAAGAGTTTTGGCTTCTTCGGCGTCGGGTTCGGACCCAGTGTGGGAGTTGGGGTTGATGAAAACGGAGGTGTGGTTGGGCGAGGAAGGATCTTCTTTGAAGATGCGCAGGTCGACGAAGCGGCCGCTGGGAGAGGTGAGGACCATGGTTGAGGTTGGCTCCGACGGTGGGGGAGTGTCGCTGCTGGAGGAGGGGGAGGAGCTGGGGATCCAGCGGATGGAGTGGCGGATTGAAATGTCGCTTTTTTGTTCTGGGGCCATGGTTGCGGTTTTTCTTTTTCTGATCAGCTTTGATATGCAGGCTCTCGATTAAGAGCGTTTGAGAGTGAAATGAACGTGTGGTGGGATGTTTGGTGCGAGCTGATGACTTGGGTGAGATGCATGAGGGGTTGCCGAGCTGATCCCTCCGATATGCGGCGCTAGCCGGCCTCCGCCATCACACAGTCATTTACCCTAACCCTCGTGATAATTGTTTACCAAGCCCCTGAATCCTTCAACAGTTTGTAGAGTTTTGTGTTAGAAAGGATGGCTCGATTGCAAAGACGAAGATCCTGGGAAAGTTAACAACGGTCGCTACTACTCAGCCATATCCTGAATTGTCAATATCATCTTTGGATCATTGTGAATGCAAGAGTGACTGCGCGCCCCGGGGGGGGGTTGTTTTTCTGCCCGACGACGACAGGTTTTGCACTTAACTTCCACTCGGAAACAAAACATTACATACTCTCATACATCCCATCAACATCTAGCGCTTTACATCTCCTTAGTTGACAAGCACTCAGGCAATACAAGAGGGATCAGGCGGTAATTCTCGATCAAAAAGAAAAACCCTCCTACATTGATCACTTTCCGTCCGCGGCCCGAGATTCTGGTTGGTTGGGATCTATACCGTTGTTGTGGAGAATTCAAATGTGTCGACTGATGACCAAGGGGCGCCATTGACTGAGTGATGAAAAGGTTCTTCTGGCACAGTCCCGGCAACTTGATACGCCGAGCGCTCAGTAGGCAACTCGGGTGTCGTGTGAGCCCCAAGAACGTGAACCTCGTGGATCTCATGGTAGATGGGCAACTCGATAACGAGTGGCTCCCAGAGGATTGGTGGTCTGCAATCGAGTCAGAAAGACAGACTTGTATGTGTGCGTTTGTTTGACGGGAGAATCCTGAAGTGTTGTCAGAGATTGTTACCTTTGATATCTCTTCCTGATCACTGATCAAAGCGGTGGATGAAGGAACATCTAGGCGGTAGTCTGACGGAAGCGAGAGCGAGACTGCCCATCAGCGAGAACTTTCTTTTGTTCCAAGTTGTGGCTCCCCGCTCCGTGACCCCAGTTCGCTCCGGTTTGGAGGCACCTGCCGTCTGCTACCAGTCTTCCCAACGAACCTTCCCTTCTTGAAAATGACAACAGACCGAACAGAGCATAAACTTGAAGAAGGCACCAAGCCAATGCTCTTTCCGAATGATGTTTCCCTCCCTCGCTCAATTCAAGTTAAACCGATTGCTTTGGACGAACTCCTCTTCTACATTTCCATCCATCATGTCTGAATTCCTCGTCTTGTCTTTGATACGATCATTGTGTCCAAACTTCCTATAACAGCCGCCACCTTACCCAATCATCGATAGATCGATCACTTATCTACTCCAATATTCCCTAGTACGCCCTGATCTTGCCTCCTAAACCAATTCTATATATCTCGGATTCAAGCACCCTCTTGTGACCCTCTTCGCTGACCTCCGAGTCCAGCTATTTGCCATCTAACCGATCACGACTCACCCCGCTCACATCTTGCAAAGGGAAACCGAAGAGCTTACCCCCATCGAAGAGAAACAACTCCGCAAACGCCTCATGTTCCTTCGCTCCCAATCTCGCACTCCTCACCGTTCTCCTGCTCTGCAACGAAGACCCTCGGACACCGAGCCTCTCGTCATCGCCTCTGGCTCCGGGACCCAGGACCACACCCAGAGCAGCCCCGCTCGCACCAGCCTCGTGAACAACCTCAACAGCAACGGCTCCTGCACCTACTCTGACGACGACGGTGACTACGACCAGCAGCAATCATCCTCTTCGTGTCCAAACAACATGAGCCACAAACATCCTCACAACCTCTTGAACAGCAACAGCAACAAACTCTGCCACAAACGCTCAACAACTTCCACATTCAATACCTACTCCACGGCTCCCACGGCTCCCATCGCCTCCTCCAGCAAAGTAGACGTAACCAACCCCTTCGAAGATCCCTCCCACATCGTCAACGAACCCTCACCCTCCGGCTCTTCCACCCCCTCCACAATCCCCTCCGATTCATCTACACCCCAATCTCATCCTCTCTACCGAACCAATCCCAACTCGAACTCCTTTCACCCTCATCCTCACCCTCCCCATGCCATGCATAGCAACCACGGCCTAGACGGCACGGTCAGCGCCAACGCCGGTTTCACCGCCGGCACCACCGACCATAGCTTGCCCGTCCCGGTAACCAACAAGCGAGCCCACACTAGTACTACGATCTCGTCAAGGAGATCGGGCAGGTCGACTTCTTCCAAACTCTCGAGGAGGGTGAAGAAGTTACCACGGGCGATGAGGAGGGTGGTGAAGAGGTTTCTGAGACGGGTGACGGGGAAGAGCCGGAAGAAGGAGAAGATGAAGGTGACTTGGACTGCGCCGCAGGTTTGAGGCCGAGAAGCCTCAGAGGGAGGACATGTAAGGATGGAAAGAGGTGGGGGTTATTGATGGGGAATAACATTGTTGCTGGTGAGATCAATTGGTCGCTTGTTATGGCCACATGCGATTCGTGTAAAGACATGGGGAAATGGGGCATGTCACAGGTGTTGCTTGTTTGTGACTTGGGACAGATGCACGAAAAAGTCTTGGTGTTTGGTATCTTTTGTCGACCGGCGGGAGGCTATTATCCCTGGGGAACTATCCTTTTTCGTGGTTCTGTGGGCGAAGCTACGCAAGAATATGCGAATGGTTTAGTACATGGATCGTGATGGTAGAAAAAAAGACAGAAAGAGACGCATTACTCACTTTAAGCAGCTAAGAAGTAGATTGATACCCTCAAAGAGACCTTTGGCAAAAGCAAGCATTAGAGAAACCAACAAGAAAATCATGAAGACGACAGAGAAACGAGAGAACGCGAAGCAGTTTGGTGACAATACAAGACATTGATCGCATTGCGACAATGTCCAGCTCTAGTTGTATTCCCTTTTCCTCCTCCACCACCACCTGGTCCAGCCCTTCCAAATATCCTATCCTATCCTGTCCTATTCTAGCTCCCTTCGACACGCTCGCATTACCAAATTGGACATTACCACTAGTATAGTACACAGACAAAGAGTTTTTGTTAGATCCCCCCAACCTTCCTGCCTCTAAACAAAAAAAATCAATCGACTACTGGAAGAAATTACCCCCCGGAGCTGAAATATGCCAGTACCTTGAAAAGATGATGAGGTGGATATCAAGTGATAAGAATGAAAGAGGAGATGAAAAAGAAAAGGAAAGAAAAAAAAACATAAGAAGGGCATCATGATATATATATGTGTGTGAAAGTGCTGCTGACGTTGCGTGACAGTCGTATGATGATGATGATGATGATCGAGAAAAGAAAAGAAAAAGAAAAAGAAAAGAAAAAGCCGTTAATGCAAAAAGATGGAGAAGATCGCCCCCCAAGCCCAATGATGGTCCCAAAAAAAAATAAGCAAAAAAAACAACAACAACGAAATCCCGGCCATATGACCATATGACCATATGACCAAATGACCATCCACCGTCCCCCCTTTCCAGCAGATATCCAACCGGAACTAAACTAACCAAAAAAGGTGTTGGAGACAAAGAGGAGCTCAGCGGGCTCGCTCACTACGTATCCTTCGGACCTCCTCCTCCTCCCAGTCCAAAACTCATCCCCATACTCATCCCCAACCGATCCATCGTGCCCCTCCTATGTCCATGCCCATGTTTACCCCCATTGGCCCCACTCCCATCCCCTTTCCCCGTCCCCGTCGCTCCTCCCCTCTCACTCAACACCCCCGGGTTCTGGCCCGTCACCCGCCCCCAGTCCTCCCACTCTTTACTGATCTCCATCAACACGCCCGCCATCACCTGCGCGCTAGCCATGAGTCCGTGACCTTCCCCTTCTAGAATGCGCACCTCGCACCTCCTCATCATTTTGCCCAACCACTTTACGTTTTCGACAGGTACTCTCGTATCGCGACTGCCGTGGTGGATCACGACAGGGCGGGTGATGTCCACGTAGCGAAACCCAATGGTGTGCCGACGCTCTAAGCAGACCAAGAGGTCCACGGCCGGGTTAGCGCCCGTGGTAGCTAATTGCCAAATGGCGTGCGTGAGGCGGTGGTCGTACTGCTGTTGGCGTTCGCGCTCGGCTAGCGCCAAAGCGGCGGCGACGTCGGCGTCTGAGAGGCCGCCCGAGGTGGAGTGGCGGGAGTGGTTGTTGTGTTCGTCGACGCCGGCGAGGTTGGAGGATTTGGAGCGGGTGTGGCGGTGACGGTGGCTGCCGCCCCCGATGCCCTTGTTGCTGTTGGTGATGGTGGGGCGGATGCGGTCCATGTCTTCGTCTGCGCCGGTTGGTTCGGTACTGATGATGCCGGAGGAGGTGGCGGGGCGGTCGGAGTCTTTGTTTTCTATTATGCCTAACGAAGAAGACTTGTCCTTTTTCTTGTCGCGCTTGGCGCGTTTTTGTTTGGGTAGGGAGGAGGTGATGCTGGAGCTGGTGGCGGCCATGAAATTGCTGTTGGCGACTTTGAGGATGGGTGTTGGTAGTGCTCTTAGGATTTTTTGGCTGGTAGGGATGGCGTTGGTCGGTGGTAGGGGGTTCTGAGAACCACCTCCGATGACGTTGATTTGGGATGGGGGAATCCAAGGCGCGAGTAGATGGATCTTTCCTCTGATGTGTTGGGGCATGCGTAGCGCGGTTGCTAAGGCGTAGATGGCGCCAGCGGAGTGGGCGAGGATGGAGAACTTTGTGATTTTGAGAGCTTGACATATGGCATAGACGTCGTCTGTTGAGAATTAGCATTTGGCACCTGAAAACCATTAAAGAAAAAAAAACGTACCAGGCCAGCCCAGTGGCGTCGTGTTACCATCACTATACGGCTCACTATCACCCACTCCAGGTCTATCAGGGGTAATCATCCGGAGCTTCAACGTCAAAGCCAGCTCGTCGTAAAACGCGGTAATATACCTCGTCAGACCCATGCCCACACAGCAGAAAACGGCACTCCCATTGGGATCGCCCACTTCGCTGAAGCTGATTACGCGACCTGTCTGCGGATGCCGGATCTTCTGGCTCAGTCGGGGACTACATAGGTAAGCCTCGACCGTGTCGTCGATGCTGTCTGCGCTTTTTGGCCTCTCGTATGTAACATGCGGTCCAATTCCCTCTGTCGAAGAAGATTTGTCAGGATTTCCAGGTATAATAGCGTCGGAGAGTCGTTTAAGCTTACTGCTAGCCCGCTTGTTCTTATTATCTGAATTCCCGTTGCTATCACCGTTGCCAACCAAAGAATCTGGGTTCAAAAAAGCTGATCTTCGTTTCGATTTTGGATCTGCATCGCGATCCTGTGGGCGTGACTGGGCGATAGCGGGAGAGGGTGCAACTTCGTCGGTTTCGGTCTCTGGGAACATGTTGACTGTAGGTGTGGATAATACTGGTTTCATGTGTAAGTCCGCAGAGAGGCGTAAGGGGTCCAGCATCTTTCTTTGGCGTCGTTGCGGTTTTTCGGTGCGTGGCTCGGGGAGCTCGCTGGGGTGCTCTTCGAGTTCGTGAATGGTGTCGTTTGCGCCAGTGTCGCTTTCCCGTATCGACTTGCGCGACGTCCTGGTAGACGACCGCTTGTGTTTCTGTGACCTCCTCAACGATGACTCCCTGGTTGGAATGCCTGGCGGGGAGCTCCCAAAGCCGCTTGGAGGTTCCCAGTCCGTGGGCAACTTGGGCGTAGAAGGGATATCGCTGGCTGGTTCCTCGCTGATAATACTCTCCACCGACAACGGATCGAGACGGGGTGTCGAGCTGCCGCTTGTTGTGCCCGTTCCAACCAGTCCTGTGAATGAACTTGCAACTAGTGCCGAAATACCGATAACGCTCGTCCTCTTTTCGATTTCTTGTTCGCGCAATCTCTCCTTGCTGCTCATGTACATCAACCCGCGCTGACTGCGACCTGCTGTCCTCCAATTCCAGCTATCGGCGGATTTCTGTCGGCGCAATGGTTTGGGGTCAGTGCCCACGGGCGAAACTGGTTCGCTTCCTCGTTCGATGCTCAGCTTGCCAATGCTTTCGACGCCGGATGCAAGGGATGCCTTGCTCGATGATCGCGACAGTGCGCTGCTGCTACCGCGCGAGAGCAAGCTCCTAAAGCCGGAGGGTTCGCGAGTGTGTGCGGGGCTCTTTGGTGATTTTGGGCCCTTGGAGGACACGGATATCTTGGAGGTGGGACGAGATCTGCCAGTCCGGACAACGGGAGGGCTTGCAGTGGCCTGGTCTACGGGGACATCTTGGTGCTGCCACTGAGTTTCGGAGGGCTTGGAGAATGCGCCGTAGTCGACACCGAATGAACCCGATTTGGCGGTTGGGGAGGAGTTGAAGGACAGGTCGATGGGGCTGTTGGGGCCTATGGACTCGAGATAGAAGGGCGACTCGAAATGGGTGCTCAGCGGGCGTGATATGGAGGAGAGGGATGTGATGAGGGACGAGATGACCTCAGGAGAGGCGGTTTGAATTGGTTGGTTGGGATCCCTGTCTCGGTTGTGGTTGGCGTTGTTGGCGCTGGCTGCTAAGCTGGCGGCGGCGGACGCGTGGTCGGTGCGTGGGTCTTTGTCTTTTCGTTCGGGCGTTCGGTTGGGATCTCTCCGGTGGTTTTCCAAAGTTTGCCTCCAAGTTTGTCCACTTGTTTTCTTTTCCGTCTCGACTTTCTTATTCTCGTCCTGCTGATCAGCGAGGTTTCGAATGCGGTCTCGTTCGCGGGATCGTCGGGGGATAGGAGGTGCTGCTGCCAGGTAGGCAGCCGGCTCGGGCAATTGCTGCTGCTCCATTATTCTAGGTAGTTTAAGTTACTGAAAGGTTGACGACGACGAGAATGGCGGTTCCCAAGTTTGCTTACATTATGGCGGGCGGCTGGGGACGTCGAGCCTCCAAGCTAACTTCTCCTAGCTGGGGAGCGGCCGTGTGTACCGAGTCGTGCGTTATATTGGAATGTCAGAGTCGTTGTATGGTTCGTCGATCTTGGCAACCAGTCCCTCTCGTAGTTGTGGTTGTGCTTGTACTCCCGGCTTTCTGGACCATGACCTTCTCCCGCTGCACGTCGCTGGGCGGCATAAGCTGCAAGCAATCAACTTTGCGTCTGCAGGTACGTCCAAGCAATTATTGGGTTGGACCGATGAGGTGGGATGGAATGGCAAACTTCTTTTTGGCTGGCTATGGTAGGGACCAATCGAGATCGAGTCGTCGCAAAAGTCACAAGTTGACTGCTGATGCTGCCACCGAGAGGGTATTAGGTGAATAAATATTAAAAGTTAGAAAAGTGTTGCTGTCTCGTAAAGCCAAGTCGGAAGCACCGAGCGAGTATCGTAGCGAGATATGATATTAGGTAGACTGGCTGTGGTAGTTACGTCGATATGGTTGGTACAGTATGTCGAACGGGCAAAGCGGAAGTGAGAGCGAGGAAAAGGTAGGTAGGTAGATCGGTAGGCGCAAAATCTCTGGATTCGTTCCTCCTCAGACCACATCAATATCGACAGACGGCGCTAGAAGGGTGGGAAAAAAGAGGCTGGAAAAAGAAATGAGATGAGACGCGGCAAGATGAAAAAAAAAAGAACCAAAGTGCCGGACCCCAAGGCCGACAAGGAAGCCCAAAAAAGAGAGGAGTTCGAGTCTCGCCGAATCTGAACAACGACCCCGGACACATGTAGAAATCTATGAACCCTAATCCCGGACTGGTCACTTCCCTCACACAAGGGGGAAAAGGTGCAAAAAGAGTACTGGTACGTATTGGGCGCAATTCGCGATATGTATCTGGGATTGTGACCAGGAGGGTCCTGTACGAAAAGATGATCCAAGGTGGCATTGGTGCTTGCCATGTCCCCGTTGTGACCCTCCAAACCCTTCAATGCGCTCCAATGCGCTCCAATGATTGTGAATGCTTCTCGGTTCCAGGATTTCCAAGATTTCCAAGGTTACTCCAGATGCCCCAGTTGCTGCAATGCTGCTGCAGGTACGGCTGATAGCGCCAGTGATGGTGGGGACCTGGAAATGGAATGATTGTGCCCGTGCTTGTGCTTGTGGTTGTGAAGACTTTGCGCAACTCCCGTCAACTTGGGAACAAGGACATCAGTCATCCATCAAACGGGATGTCTGGATGAAAAGAGAGGGGAAAAAAAAAATGCAAGATGAGGATCTGTGGTCTTCAAGGGAACGATGCTAGGGCTGTTAACTGGGATGATAAGTTGGCAGCTCAGATTAACGGAAGTGATGAAAAGAGGCTGACACGGAGGACTCTTCACAGCACATGCAGGTTCGGTTGAGTGGAGGTGGTGCAGCAAGAGCTCCCACTCTACAAGTCCCCAAATGGCTCAGCGCCAAAGCAACCTGGAGAAACATGAGGCCAAGGAAGCTCCGATCTCGTTTGCCCCAGTTGTCACTCTGTTAGTGCTGCCCCAAACCCACCATTCAGTTCCCTAACAACCACCATTGGAAATTGGATCTGGAATCACCCCCGGGGAAGATTCCCATCTGGGAAAAAAAAGAGATGCAGGGACTGGCACAGTCTTAAGTTGCGTTCCATATCTTAGCGCACCGACCCCTCATCACCTGCATCCATTTTCAATGTCTTCCTTCCCCTGTCTCTTTTGGCTGTCCTGCCGTGCCCTGATCCCTCCACTGAACAACGTGCTGCCCCTGAATATTCCCTTCCCTTTTTTGTCAACTTTGACCCAGCAACCTCCAATCACCTTGAACTGTATCCGTCCCTTTTATGGCTCAATCCACTTTCCCAACCCTTTGGATCCTAGACTTTACCTAGGCTTTGAGATGCGTCGGGCTGACGACGGTCTGGTTTTCCCCGCGATCATGGAGCTACTACCACTTGCGTCAAAGTGTTCCGAGACCATGCCTTGGGAGGGACTGTGACCGGGCTGTAGCACTTCCAATTCCAGGTGATTTGCATCAAAGCGATAAAGGAAGGGCTTTCACCACTGTCAATGGCATCATCACGACAACTACCTTTTAGCGAGTACGATGCGCCGCTCACCCTCTTAGACGTCAGACATACCTTTTCCTCGTAAGATGGCCATCATCCGGCATATTTGAACAAGGAAGAGAAACAAGCGGGAAATTTGTTCCACCCGCCCTTCTAGAAGCTTTTCTGCCTCGTTTCGTTTCTTTAGGGATGAACGGGTTCGGGTCCGGTCCGGTACGTTGAAAAGCTCAAGCCACATTTTGCCAGGGGTCCTGGTCACTACCGAGAGGAGTAAGAAAAGAGGTTGCACCTCATTTTATTTGCCTTACATACTGTACCTGTACCTCGTACATAAATCGTACCGTTCGTTCCTTGATGTTGCATCCCGACTAACCGAGGAAACAATTGTCAATGAGGCTTGGGCGGGGAGTGATCTCTTTCTGTATTTCAATAAAGATATACAGTAGATAAGAAGCTCAGTGTCGCCGTTGAAAACCAGGCGAGATAATTTAGACGCGCTGCTACCATCCAAAGCCTTGATTGTTTTCCCGCTTACGTACCTCGGACGGTAAAAAGAAAACAACATTTCAAAAAAGCAATAAGAAAAACGGAACGGAACGACATGCGCCCAACCAGGAAACCCCTTGCTGACCACCCCATACTGCATAGTAGATCAACCCAGATCATTCCCGCTTCCGTCCATTATCACCGGCCTGTGCTCCAACGGCCGCGGGACCGGGAACTAGGACCGAGACAAGACGAGACAACTAATGAGGTCGGGAAGGCTACCCGAGATTGATTTCTTATCATCGTTTCGGTTGGTGGGGGGGAAGGGGGGGTTCTCGGGTTTGAGGACGAGAGCGTGCACGCATGGGCCACGGGAAGCTATTGTGATGTGCTTTTTTGATTCCTTGATTGACCTCTTTGGCAAGAGAGCGGGCTATGAAGTTCAGCGTCTGCGAGGTTCTTGGATATCGCTGATATCATCGCGATATCTACCTAAGAAGCCGTTTATCTCGTCGAGACTTTTGGGAGAAAGTGGCGTGAGGAAAAAAAAAACGAAGGCCGAAGAAAATTCATGACAGCCCTCGGATATCCAAACAGGAAATGAATGAGATATCAAGTTTTTGAAGAAAACAACACCTCCCAGTTGTGAAATTCATCCATCATCCACTATCATACAAATCATATCTTTATCCCTCCGCGTATCCATCCCCACACCCAAAATCCCTCGGTTCACCTCATCACCGACCCCGCCCTACTACTCCTCTCCCTAATCCTCCCACTCCTCCTCACCCCCATCCCCTCCCCAAACTCCTTGATCCCATCCACAAACCCCTCACCAACCTCCCTCAATCCCTCAGCCACCTGCTTAATCTCCTCCTCCAACGACTTGCTCAAATCCTCTCTCTGTCTCCTCGCACTCATCCTCGTCTGCCTCCCACTTCCACCTTCACCAGCCTTACTTCTACCCTTCCTAGCACCACCACCACCACTGCTCCCCCGATTCTCAGCCCCCTCAACAACAACCGCCCCATCCTCCCTACTCTCATCCCTCAACAGCCTCGTGCCCAACACCCAATCCACCAATCCCCAAGCCCCAAAATTCCCACTTTTCCTTCCTTGCTTAATCCCTCCTAGCACACCCATCCCTTCAAGCGTCCCAAAATGCCGACCCTGCCTCTTCGCGATCCCACCCACCAACACCCCCGGGATCGGCACCAGCGTCAACAGCGTCGTGTACCCCGCCAGCGACAAGGTCTCTTCCAGCGTCACCAGCACCGTAAACAAGTGCATCGTCAAAAGATGTAAGTGATGCGTGGAGCTGGGGATGGCGGGAATAGGGAGGTAGGGGACAAGTAAGGGGGAGATGTGGAAGGAGAGGGACAACAAGAGGGGAGGCAGGTAGAGAGGGAGAAAACGGTGGAGGAGGGAGGGGATGGGGTGGTCGGTGAAGAGGGTGAGGGGGGTTGGTTGCGTTGGTTGGAGAAGAGATGAAGAAGGTTTGCTGCGCCAGGAAGAGGAGGTGGTCGTAGAGGAAGAGGAAGAAGGGGGGTTGTTGCCGGCGTGGGCGTAGCGGATGTGCAAGTTTGTAAGTCGGTTGGTTAGGCTGGAGCCGGAGCCGCGCTTCGAGTTTTCATGATGAGCGTGTAGGACGAAGCGGTGGATGTAGTAGGTTAAGATTTCCCTTCCCAAGTACAAAATGGCGATGTGCTTGGCCATTTGCCATGGCAACGGCAGGGTGGTCGTTGTCCGAAAAACCGGCACTCCAAAAAGGGTGCTGACGCCCAAGGAAATAAGAGCCTGAACGGCGGTCGAAGTCAAGAGGTTGAGTAACCCTAGACCTAGAAGGCGGGCGTGTGTGCGAACATTGCGGTCTTGCAAATCGACGGCGCCCTTGTACTTGAGCGAAACCGAAATGCCCGGGCAGAGCGTGTCGAAGAGGAGAAAGACCAGAGAAGGCAGCAGCCAGAAGACGAGGCGGATGCCCAAAGTTCCGAGGATCTCGAGCTTGAAGGGCGACTGGCTGAGGACCAAGGTTGTCCAGGTCATGTAGAAAAACAAAAGGTTGAGCGAGGTGGACCAGGCCGTCATCGACGAGGGGAGGAAGTAGGAGACGAAGGGGAGGTTTAAAAGGGAGGCCATCTTGACATTGGTCTCCAGGGCCTGGAGGTAGGTAGTGTGATACCAGATGAGGCTTGTTTACATTCGGTGATGTTTTGGGTTTAAATCCCAGAGGGGCCTCAACTTTTCGAATTCCAACAGTCCATTCAAAATGTGTGGGCTGAGAAGAGGGGCTGTTGACCTTTTGGGTCAAAATACGAGTATGCGCTGTAACTGGCCTGACCATTCAACGTGTCGCGTGGAGACTGGAGCCGCCCATGTTACAAGTCAGATTTACGCTGATTCTTATGAGAATACTGTTAGCTGGTAATATGAAGGGATTCGCTCTCCCAACTTGGAGACATTTTCAAACACTGAGATTTGTGTATACGACGTTGGTTGCCCGTGCTACACGAGTGAACAAACTCTGACAACTCTCATTCCATCGCTAAATGATCGTACCCTATGACGTCGAGCCGGGGTCGTTGCCGTCCTAGCCGCCCGTCCTGCTGCCGCCGGCAACTATGTCGTGTACACTAAGGTATATAGGGCCAAGATAGCGCTCATTACTGGCAGGACCACTTGCCGGCCGGTGATGCCATTTTCGCCTGGTGCGAAGCGTCTTGATAAATTCCGAACGCTTCAAAGTCAGTCTCCTCAACGCCGTTGAGTAGATCGTAAACCTCTTTTCATCTTTTGATCCATATATTGCGTCCATGTAATCATATAAAATACCTCTATGTATAAACCTCGATACCGTACCCAAACCATCCGAGACCGAAAACAGAAAAACATAAACCAACAGAATTACGTGCACACACACAAAACACCAAAACTCGCTGTGCAATGCACATCGCGGTCTAGCATCCAAGGAGCCAGGTTCCCTGTACAACTGATAAAAACAGAAAAAAAAAACACAATAACCGCCCAGCCTGCTTGAACCCTTTACACGCCGCCCCTGTCTATGCCAACCCGTAGTAAACACCTAGTGTCATAACCTGGCTTGTAACATCTGTTCACACATCCTCTGAGATCAAGGTAGGTAGGCACCTTAGGTAGTGAATCACATCCAGCCCTTCTTGTTCTTCAGCCACTTCACGCTGTCGATACCAGCCTGGACTCTCATGCCGAACCGAGCATCCAAAACGAACCCATCCCATTTGGACACCTTGTCCAGATGCAGTTGGCACTCGTCCGTCTTTTGCTTCCGGTAGGCTTCAACCTCTTCGGGGGCTGATGGCCAGGCCTCAGGGCTGCAGGCTTCCATCCAGGCAACGGCCGCGACTTCGTAATGGGCTGCGGCGCCACAGTAGTCGTCTCTGGTAGGGCCCTTGAAGACGGATCTGAAGAAAAAATAACCAGTCAGCAAAACATTCGGTACCGGGCAAAGTGAGAGGGAAAAAAGAGACAACAACATACTTGTCAACACCCAAAAGAGGCTCCACCAACTTCCTCGCTTCCACGCTCTTACCCAGCTGTCTCAAAAACGACGACTCGGCCAACAATCCAATAGCCACCTCATCCTGCTCCAGCTTCTTGATCTTCGCGACAACATCCTTGTCCGCCGGCGCCGTGCACCGCTCCCAAGGTAGGTACGTCCGCGCCTTCTCCAGCAAGTGAGGCGGCATACGCTTGCTGCCGTTCCACAAGTAAATCATCTCCATGGCGGGACTGACGCAGATCACATCGGCGAGATCCAACCCGTACGCCTTGACGCGCTCCTCCCACTTCTGCAGCTTGCGCAGCACAAACACTTCAAAGGGCATCGCCTTGGCCATGAAGCGTTTCTTGCCGGCCATGGTGGGGGCCTTGCGGAAGTACTCCTCCGCGAGTTTCTTGTGCTTGAGCGCCGCAGAGCTGGTAGCTTCGCCACTGTGGAACAGATCGCGGTACTGCTCCAGCTCGGCGCAGGCGGCGAGGTAGTAGTACAGCGCGTGGCTCCAGCTGTTGAGCTCGACGCAGCGCAAAAAGTGGACGGGCGCGGACTTGAAGTCAAGGGCGTAGATGGAGTTCATGCTCAACTCGAAACTGTTGAGCGCGGCAATCTGGCGCATCTTGCTGTCGTTATTGTCAGCCAGCATGGCCAGGGCCTCCTCAATGCGGCGAGCGTTGGCCAAGACGCGAGCTTCTTCGAGTCTCCAGAGGCGCGAGTCCGGATACCGCTGGCGCATCTGGGCAAGCAGAGCGGTGCACTCGTTGCGGGGGTAGCCGACGGCTTCGAACTTGGCGCCCCCGGTGGAAGGCTTGGAGAGTTGCTGGATGTCGAGCTCGCTGGGGAGGATGTCGGCAATTCCGAAGAAGAGATTATAGTACTGGAGGAGGACGAGGCCGGCCATGGCGCCGTTGACGTTGTCGTACTTGGTTGACTGCCAGAGCATCTGGACTCCCCTGTCACGATCGCCCTTGAAACCGATGACGGAGAGAAGGCGGGAGAAGGCTGGGGGGACCATGGAGATGATGAGCAGGAGAATACCAAAACACATGCTTGCACCGCTGTGGACGAAGATGTCAACGGGTGACTTGAAAAGTGACCTATCGGCGCCGAACTTGTTCAACTGGTCGAGGTGAGAGAACTGGGGTGTCGATGGTGTCGTATCTTCTGGGGAGGCATCTGGGAGTACACTCTGCTCGCTCGCCGCATCGGCGTCAAGTTGGAGATGGCCTAACTTCTCGTCGAGTATCTCTACATCTGCGGCCGTCTTCGCTTCGTTGGAAGCCGATGCGGACGCTGGTGTCTGAGGGCCAGAGGGGTCTTTGGCGACACTGGCAGAGTCTGCGGCGGCGCCGTTTTGCGAAGGAGTGTTTGCGCCTTTGGTATTTTCGAGGGTAGCGAATTCCGAGTCGCTGAATGCACCAGGCATCTTGTCCAGACTCGTTTTGGTGGAGCTTGCGTTCGTGATGATACCCTTCTTTTCCAATGTCTGCAGATACAGCAACTCAGAGGCCATGATACCATCCAAGGTCGCGTACGCCTTTCTCAGCTTGTAAAATCCCTTGATTCCTTCCGTCAGACTTTCGTGCATCACAGCCACCACGGCGCCCATGAGTTGCGCCTCTGCGTTCACGAGCGCAAACTCAGAACCCGGAGGGTAGATGTGGCTTCCTCCTGACGGATGCCCCTGGGGGTATACCGAACCGCCGTACACCCCATGCTTTTCCGCCTCTTTCTGGGCCTTCTTCATATCATTCCATGCCCGCGTTTCTGTCTCCCCCAACCTGGTTGTCGCCTCATTCATGATGTCCTTTTCGAAACCCAAGATACTCCTCAAAAATGTCGAGACACCCACACCAAGCTGGTGGAATGTCGAGGCATCTTCGCGCGCACGCAGCATTGCTTCGGCTCCGTCGATATCGTCGTTCATAATCAACGCTACTGCTGCCATGGCATCCTCAATGTTGCTCGCTTCCTGCTGGGCAGCGCTAACTGAGGCGGTACTGGACCGTCCATGTTTGTTGAACTGGTCGCGCAAGGAAGTAGAACTGGCGGCCGGGCTCGGCGCAGCACTCGGCGCTTTGGACGACTGGTTCGAGGGGGCGGACTGTCCGCGCAACCAAAAGCGCAATGCAGCAGACATTTTGGCAAGTTCCAGGTAGTTGTGCGACCCTGTGTTTTGCGGCCGGGTCGTGTACTGTAACGGTAGCCGTTTAGAGTGGTGTTGCACGCCGCCGAGGACGGAAAGCGGGTTGGCGCTGGGGGGATGGGCGCCGGATGCCCGAGTCGCCAAGCAAAGATCCGAGGTCCGGGATCACTTATATGGTGCCACCGGCGTCACGACTTTTTGGTGTGAAAAATAGCGACAAGAGGACCTGCCTTTTCACAGGCTGAGGTAAAAGAGAAAAAAAATAAGACAGCGAAATCCAGACCCCGCTCTGCCAGGATAAAAAAAAAAAAAAAATTATTTATGAAAAAATTTAAGAAAAAGAGAAACCAGAGGCAAGACCTGGATATATACAGGGGTGCCGAGCGGCAAGGCCGGTGAAACCGGATCTAAGACGGCACTGCAGACCTGGCGAAAACTAACAACAAGGAAACCTGGGGTTCGGGGCGTAACGCTTGTTTGGGACTGGCACTGACGGGGGCGCTGACTAGGAGCGGCGCTGCGGCCCAAGCCGAGTGGGCGGACTGAGTGCCCGGTCGGTTCGTGGTGGAGATCCTTTTCAGCGCAATCCAGCTTGTCCAGGCATTCAGCGCCGGCCGGGACTGGAATCGAGGTTTCCGGCAATGTTTTGCCCCAGCGAGGTATGGTGCCCGTGTGCAATTTGTTCGTTCAGCGCAAGCGGGCGTACCGTGAGCGTGCAGACGCGAGGGAACCAGATCGGAAAGTGGGGTTTTATCGAGTTGATCACTGGGGAAGGACTCCAATGGAGGGAGGTCGTCGATGTCTCGAGATACGGTATGCCTGCCGATATCAAGCAAGTCCTGTCGTTGGTTCTCTTGACTCGATGAACGGGTGGAGTTTTGCGCTGAGAGGGAGGAGAAATGCGAGTAAGATCGGGTTAGGTTCGTGTGTACCGTAGGTTTGTTCTCAGGTTTTCGTTCTTGAACTGAGCTGCGGCTCGTTCTTGAAAGGGCTTCGTGGTCAGCAGCGGGGCTGGTCTTTAAGTATTCGCCCAAGTACGTGAAGGAACTAGTAGCATTGCCCCAGAGAAAAGAAAAAAGAGAAAAAGGGAAAAAAGGAACGAGGGGAAAGAGGCGACGAGGCGTCCAAGGGACAGTGCCTTTTCCAAGAGAGACAATCGAAAAAAGGTCCCCCGATGCCGTCCCCGGTTTGCACACCTTGTTCCATTCCAAGGTTGCTGCCCTGGAGCTTGGGACTAACGGTGGAATAAACTGTCATAGGTCCTTCATTTGATACTGTGTTGTGTCAGTATCCAATTCAAGGTATACTGGAGATAATATCCAATGCAGCCGGCACGTCTACGCCGCGCGCTTCTGCACACCGTACGGTACAATCTACATCTCAAAATCGTAGCCCTCGGTCTTGCATCATCCAAGAATATGGTCTGGGTTCTGAGAGCCGGCTTCCAGCCATGACGGAATGGCCGACTTCCATCAGATCTCCATATAGTCTCTGGGGTATCATCCGTTTCTCTCAACTCGCGAATGGTCAGGGCAAAGGCCAATCGAGTCTCCATGGGACTTTTAGGTCAGATTCGATATAAGCACTGCAGATATCGGCATACCATGTCGTGTAACCACTTGCTAAAGGTAACATTGGAATCCCGAACTGGTCACCGCAATGGCCTAGTTGGGCAGATATGTATTAGGTTCAGTTTGCAACAAGAGGGGAAAAGAGGAAAGAACAAAGGTTTCAGAAGATTGGTTTGATGCCGCACTATAGAGCAACCAAAACAACTGAAGTGTTTGCAAGTGAACCAGCAGGGAGTCTTCTTGTTAGTTGTTTATCTCTATACCCGAGGTTTCCTAGTGGGCTGATTCGCGCTCTGCGTGTTGAACTAGATATGTTAACTGCAGGCAGTATATCGAATGCAGGAAATGAGTAGTCATCTGCAATTGTCAGTGATGGTTCGGACGAATGCAATGCCTGAACAGTGCAGCTTTGATCTTCCAATATGTACAGACAAGACATCAATGACGATGCCGAACAGAAAGACACACCAAGAGCACAATCACAGCTCGGCGGGGTACATGCCAAAGTGGGCCCAAGAGCTTTCTGCCAAGATCCGCTACATGGCCCGTGCTCTTTCTTGCCGCCCCTGGCTCGCCCAGGCCAAGTGCAGTGGGCGGAGGAAGCCGAATTGGCACGTCGTCTCGCTGCCGCCTTGGGTTGGGGGCCCGTCACTCGGCAGCTGCAGTTGACGGAACAAACGACAAGATCACGAGCTGTCACGACTGACGGACCAAAAGCTAGAGCTATCACCACCGCAGCGTCTAACGTCTTTTCGCGAAACCGACGATTTCGATTTTCCTCCGTGCGCATAATACCAAAGAACAAAAGCGCAATCATCATCACCACGACGTGATTAAAAGTACGCCGACGAGTTTGCCCGCCTTTCGAACAATTCGTCGATACCATCCATCCGTCTAGCGTCATCAGCTTCAGTCCAGCTGGTCCCATCCCTCTATATACCTACACACACAAAACACAAGATTCACAATGGCCTCAACACAACCCAAGAACGACGCCAAGTCGACCGAGCCCAAGCCCGAGCAGCCCGTTACCGAGAAGAAGACGGCCGTGTTGGAGGAGGACGACGAGTTTGAGGACTTCCCCGTCGATGGTTAGTCTGTCTGCCTGCCTGCCTACCATGGCTCAGAAGCACCTTTTGCTGGACGCCACATCGCATCCCAAACACCACCGCATCACGACCTGCTTCCATATATCATATCATTCAACAACCTCTCTGCCTGTACCCTTCATCACTGGCACGGACACTACATACCAAACCTCCTTCAACTTGCGCAACTGCGGAGGCTAGCTTCCCCAGCTGTTGTACTGCACCATCATCACACCACCACCACCACTTACACTACCTTTTCCCCTCTCCTTATCTTCCTCCTCCTCCTCCTCCTTTCTACCCGTATCGCCAATCGCAAACTCCTAAAGCTCCCACTAGAACCAACAACCCAATTCGAAGTCAAGATCACATGTAACTAACACAATAAACAAACAGACTGGGAAGCCGAAGACACAGAAGCCGCCAAGGGCAACAACGAGGTCAAGCACCTATGGGAGGAGTCCTGGGACGACGATGACACGAGCGACGACTTTTCCGCGCAGCTAAAGTACGTTTTTCTCTTTTTCTTTTCGTACTCCTTTCCCCTCCCTCCCGCCCTTTTTACCTGCGTCCCCTCTCTTTTCCTCTCCCTCTTCCTCTCCCCCTTCCTCCTCCTGCTCCTTTACCATGAGCTTCCACTTCACGTAGCTAGCTTTGCGCTAGGGGGTTGGGACTGAAAATCCTAGACCCGGTTAGCCGGTATTACGCTGGGCCAGTCAATCAGGCGTTAAAATAAATCACACCATTTTGGAATTTTGGGGGAAACAAAAAGCAAGGCCGAATAAAGCGAATTAGTTGCTGACTTGTCTTTTTCAAACCCTTAGGGAGGAGCTGAAGAAGGTTGAGGCTGCTAAGAAGCGGTAATCGGAGGACTTTCGAAGCTTGTACGAAGTATGATATGAGGGGAGGACAGGCGCATCAATACAATATTGATCAAAGTTTCAGTCCGGGATCCTGCGGTGACATTGCTGTGTGAGGCTTCGATATGCGAGTGAAAGGTGAAGGGGACCCTCCGACTATAAAGGAACAATAACCCGGAGACGTGCCGACTTGTGTAGTCATTGGGTATCAACATGGGATTGAAGTGGTTTGCATAGACTTCGTCTCGAACTTGGTGCATAGACTTGAATAATATCTTACGACGAACCAGATTCATCAAGCTTATCCGCACATCACACTTCGAATTTAAAAAAAAAAAAACTGGACTTTTAACTGTTTTGTTCTATTTATCGAATTGGACTAAAGTGCCTATCATAGACTGGCCCTGCTAATCCTTCCAAGGACCCTTTATCATCATATGTTTTTGATCCATCAGTCATGATCTCTCATTCAATATCCGAGAGGTTTCATAACATCATTATATCTCCTCCCAACTCCTTTGAAAGCCAAGGACCAACTTACTGACGCTCGCTAAGAGCAACAACACCAGGGAGAGCCTTGCCCTCAAGGAGCTCAAGGGAAGCACCACCGCCAGTGGAGACGTGGCTGAGCTTGTCCTCAACGCCGTACTTGGCAGCGACGGTAGCGGTGTCACCACCGCCAATGATGACGGTGCGGCCTTCCTCGGCAGCCTTGACGCAAGCGTCGAGGGTGGCCTTGGTGCCCTTGGCGAACTTGTCGAACTCGAAGACACCAGCGGGGCCGTTCCAGAGGATGGTCTGGGACTCGTTGATGGCCTGGGTGAAGAGCTTGACCGACTCCTCGCCGCAGTCGAGACCCATCCAGCCGTCGGGAATGCCGTCCTTGTCCGTGGCGTAGCCAGTGTTGGCGTCCTTGTCAAACTTGTCGGCAATGGTGAAGTCGACGGGGAGGACGAGCTTGACGTTGTTCTTCTCGGCCTTCTTGACAAGGTCCGGGACAATCTTGGCGCCGGCCTCATCGAAGAGCGAGTTGCCGATGGGCATGTTCTGGAGGGTCTTCTTGAAGGTGAAGGCCATGCCACCGCAGACGATGAGGGTGTTGACCTTGTCAAGCAGGTTGTCGATCAGCTGGATCTTGTCGGAAACCTTGGCACCGCCGAGGATGGAGAGGAAGGGGCGCTGGGGCGACTCGAGAACCTTGGCAAAGTACTGGAGCTCCTTCTTCATGAGGAAACCGGCGGCCTTCACGGGGAGGTCAATGCCGACCATGGAGGAGTGGGCGCGGTGGGCAGTGCCGAAAGCATCGTCTGTGGAATATGGTGTTAGCTACTGTGCCCAATCTTGAAGCCAAGGGGACTGGAAAACTCACTGATGTAAACATCACCGAGCTTGGTGAGGTTCTTGCGGAACTCCTCAACCTTGGCCTTGTCGGCCTTGACCTTGTTGCCCTCGGCATCGGTGCCCTTGCCCTCCTCCTCAATGTGGAAGCGGAGGTTCTCAAGGAGAATGACTTCGCCGTTGTCGGCCTTGTTGACAATCTCCTCAACCTCGGGACCAACGCAGTCGGGGGCGAAGGTGACCTTCTTGCCGAGGAGCTTCTCGAGCTCAGGAACAACGGGCTTCAGGGAGTACTTGGGGTTGGGCTTGCCGTCGGGACGGCCAAGGTGAGACATGAGGACAACGGCCTTGGCGCCATGGTCGAGCGCATACTTGATGGTGGGGATGGCACCGGCGATGCGCTGGGGGTTGGTGACCTTCTTCTCGGCGTCAAGGGGGACGTTGAAGTCAACCTAGAGAAGGGTGCCATGTTAGAACTCTTGTCTGGCCATCCATCCACCTATATGAATCACACAGCAACACAAGGAGCTAGCTAGCGCTGAAAGAAACTTACACGGATGAGGACGCGCTTGCCCTTGAGGTCGACGTCCTCGATGGAGAGCTTGTTGGAGAGAGACATGATGGCGGTTTGTATGTGACTAGGTATCACGAACTGGAGAGACGATGGGAAGGAAGATCAAGAGAGAGAAAGGAACAAACACAAGACTACGAGAGGATGTCTTATCAACAGAATGAAGGCGAAGGGTGAGAATCAGGTGGATATGCGACAACACGCGATGATGATAGGTCAGCTTCTATTCTTGTGTCAATCCCGTTGCTTTGCCAATCCTTTTGCAAAGCTCAACAAGACGCAAATTCTCTGTCAACGCCGGGCGCTTCCCCCGAAGCGGTCGCAATGGCCCGGGGGCGGGAGAGAGAGTGGCTATGATGGAGGGGCAGAAGGGGGTAAGCGAATTGAGAATGGAGGGGTAACACCGAGCTCCTGTGGAGCCAATTCGTAAAGAGGGGGCCAGTGACGTCGAGGCGCTGAGGGTCTGCTGTTGCGGATGGGGTGATCCTTCCATTGAATACCTTCTGGGCCTCTGGGATCATTCTACAAGGAACAACGGCAATAGCATCCCGGCCGGCAGTATATGCAAATTAGTGCCAAAGGGCTCCGATTGTCGCTATTGAACATGTTGTTAAATCGGTCCGATATGCCTAGAGGCAAAGTCTAGACGGGGACTTTTAGACGATCTTAAATTGTTATCACTTATACAGGTGAAAAATTCGATTATTCAGAATTTCTCAGACAACGATATGTCTTCAGACGACAGCAAGCAATGAACTGCAGAAACTCCCATCGCGACATTGACAACTTTGACAAGGCAGGCACCACGAACCAACATGCCTCACGCTGCCGCCTGCACATGGCGGTCACGCATTCGCTTCCATTTCCACACGACTTTTACCTATTCGGGAACATGATTTGGCAACATAACCTCGGAACCGGACAAGTCGAGAATATGTCGGCTTCCTTCGACCAGTTCGACCCTGGTAGGAGTCGTACCACCCTTTCCATTAATCCGGATTTCGGCTTACGGGGAGGAATGAAAGGACAACGTGATCATCTTTCTGGGCTTGGTATATAATCTAACCATTTCATACGATCTCTCGTGTTCGGAAGACTTTTATGTAGATCTCCCGACCGCTTTTTACCGTCTCACACGTTACGCCGTTGAGTATCGCGCCAGGTACATCACAAGCTGTGAGAAGTAACGCCAGGTGGTTCTATGTTTCAACTGAGACTGGGTCTAGCTAGATACAACGAACGGAAAGAAAGAAGAGGGCAATGCTACCCTCGGTCAAAACTCCAAGACGCCTTGAGGTCGGTCAGCTGTATGAAAGAAGTGCCGTGGTATAGTACTTATCCTCCGAACCCCTTCCGTGAACTCTCTTACAATTCCCCTCTCCGCGACAAAAAAACAGGGACAAAGGCAACCCGGCAGGTGTACAATGCTGTTCATGTCGTTGCGCAGATATTCTTTAGGTAGGTATTGCCCCAGCTGGCAACTTGTGATCATCGAATGCATGAGGAGAAAGAACCTTGATGGTTAACGTCGCAACCATTTAGGATAGACGAATGTCGGGAGAGCCAGGTGCCCGATGAGGGGTGGTGTGCTGCACATCCTCAGCGGCATTGGTGAGTGAAAGGTAGGCTGTCCAAGCGATACCAACAGTGGAAACGAATGGCTATGTGATCATGACTTTGTTAGCGACATCTTTTTTCCGTACAATCCGAACAAAGCAACTCACCAGCTGGAGCGACACGGGCATCAACCGAAAGTTAATAACCTGGACCGCCGGCCAAAGCACGTAGTTCGCCTTGAGCGTCGGCACATACAGATCCCTCATCTTCTCATACACGCCTCTCTTTCCACCGCCCTCGGCCAGCGTCATGGCCGTGAAGAAGCAGGCCAGACCAAAGGGCGCAAAGATGAGCTGGTCGAAAGCCACTCTCTTCAAAGCCGACTGGTAGGCGTTCTTCTTGGTGATGGGGAAGCATCGCTCAAGAAATCCGAACCACTTGAACTGCAAGGGCGCCATGCAGAAGCCGAACGCCATGAAGCGGGTCAGCCGCTCAAAGTCGAACGGGGGCGGCAGGTCCCGCGACTCGGGGATCAGCTCTTGTTCGTTGAGGGGGTTCTTCCGGTCGAGCTCGTGAATCTCGTAGGCAACAAAGTCGTCGCGCGCGTTCGGGCCTCGGCCGGGTGGGTACTTGCGGACGGCACGTTGCCGGACCGCCGTGATGGACTGGGCTACCGTATCGGCGACACCAGCCAGGACCGCATTGGTCACCATCATCGTGAGCACTGCCATGGCACTTTTGTTAGCCATGGTTGCGCAGGGCAACGAAAGCGTACGTGACGTGTGAAAACATGGCCGCGACTCGAACCCGCCGCGACTCGAACCCGCCGCGTTAGGAGAATGGGACTTGGAAAACGCACCAGGTCGTTCATTGTAGAACTGGTTGAACCGGCTCGTGAGCCGGGCGATAATGGTCATTTCGATTATGAAGACAATGGCATGCAATAGGGGCTAGAGCAGGCAATTCAGGTCATTGTTCAGTCAGCACTCGGCCGTTGTACTTGGGTCGTTTTGTAGATAAGTTGAGTGGTTCTCTGTACGCGAAACAGAACGACCAGCAATACGGCAGAAACGAAATAGAAAAGATCAGATCAACTGCTGCTCGAAGGTATGTAGTTGTGTGGATTGTTTTTTTTTTTGCCAAGTGTTGAAAGTCGAGGTGGAATCTCGATGTTCGGCGTTGTGTCGGTTGAAAGAGGTGTGGGCATGCGAATCTTCCAGAACTTGGCTTTTGTTGAAGGGGAAAAAAAGGAAGAGGAAGAGATCGGACGAAGCCAGAACAGAAAGCATCACCTACAAAGCGGTCAAAGATATATTTGCTGTTCAACCGTCGCATCCATCGACGACGGGTGAGGTCCCAGGACATGATGACGATCAAGGAGAGGTATTAGTGTAGTCAAGAGGCGTCGGCAGAGTAGGCGCGCACTAGGTGGCAGCAGGAAAGGATGACAGCGGAGATGAGTGACAGGTTCAGGGTCCGAGTAGAGAAAGGATCTGAATCAAGGTTTCCGCGGGTTCCTGTCAAATAGTGCGAGTACGACAACAAGCCTGGACCAACAACACAACGAACAACCCGTGTTGCCGTGTGCGGTTCTTCTGCTTCGTTGGACTGGAAACCAAGAACTGATGATCGATGCGAAATGGGAAGAGAGGGTCGATGACGTCGCCACTGGCTTCTTATCGTTAACGTAGCGCCCAGCGATAAGCAGCTAGCGGACAATAAAGCGGACCCGGCCCCGTCGCCGTCGCAGTCCACTGTTGACGACCCAATCAATTCAGTTGGCGCTGGGGTTATTGCGGTGGTGTAAGCCTAGAGGTAGGACGGTAGGAAAACTTGAAGATGACGAAGAGGGGTCGTCGCGAGCCACTGAATTTGGCAATCTATTTTCAATCTGGTGATCTCAAAGCGCATTCCACAGGCAGGTTGCGTCGTGATGCCGATTGTTGTGTCGCGCAAGTCGGTGAAAACAGGTCGATCCGTCTTGAGGAAAGATGTTGAGGTCAGAAAAAGAGTGAGCATTCGGGATGGAAGTTGACACTTTTGCCTTTTAACTCCATCATTCGTGTTAAAACTACCCGGTCGGTCACCAGACGCGTTGCTGACATTCATATGCCCGCGGGCGGCAGTGTCAAGACTCAAAAATTGGCCGTTATCTCTCATATTCGCTTGCGACGCGCATTGTCATTGTCTTCAATCGGCTGCTTCAAGCAAGTTTCTAACTTAATCGTGTTTTCGTTTACACAGCCATCCTTGAAGGGCACATAATGCACATGCTTCCTCGCGTTCGGCAGGTCCAACACGCAACCAGCAGCAGGGCAAGCAGCAGCAGCAGATGGTTGGCGGTGGACTGTGCCTGTGGCAGGTCATCTGCTTCAACCCTAACCCTGCTCGTGTGAACCCGTCGGTCTCCAGGAGACTGGTCAAACGACTCGACTTGGTTGTGCCCGCCTTCAATCACCAACACCAACATCAACACACCGGCCATGTCTCTACTTATTTTGACAGCATACCCAACTCGTTGAAGTACTTCTCAACCCCTTCAAAGTCATCAACATCAAGCACCGCACCGATATACCCATCCGGCCTCACCACCAACATCCTCCCCTTCTCCGGATCAATCTCCAGCCGCGCATACACCCTTCCATGTCCCTCATGCACACTCTCAGCGTCTGCCAACACCCGCCAGTAATCATACCCTTCACTATCGCTCCAAGATCTAAACACCTCAGGCAAGTCGAGCAGTTCAATCTTATCACGATCAGCACTATGCACCATAAGCACCTCCACCGGCGCCGCCTCTCCACCTGCTGTCAAATGTCCTAATCCATTCTCTGGGTCTGCGAGGTACTCCCCCAGCTTCTGCACATTCGTCGACAAGTGTTGGTGGGCAGCAAGGTCTCCAGCAAAGACAATCACCCGAAAGCAACCCGTGGCCTGTAGCCGTTTATGAATCCAAGTCGTGATCCCATCCGCTTGGTAAACCGCTTGAAAATCTGGCAAGCGCTTTCCGGGAACTAGATCGGCTTTGAGAAGACTTGGACCTAGCTGTTCAGCTGTTTGCACACCATTTGGGAGCTGCACCGCGCATGAGGGCGGGTAGCGGATGGACAGGCCGGTGGTGAATTTCATTGCCTGTAAGAACTCGGTGTCGAATTGGGATGAGGGAGCAGCGAAGAGCTTGAGATAGCCTCTGTCGAAGGAGATGAGGTCTTGGGCTACGGGTCTGCGCTCGGATTCGTACGTCGCTAACAGCCTCCTCGACGCATTCGAGTCGAGTTTGTGGTGAGGCTGCAGAACCAACCTCAGCTTCCACCCCAAATTATACGCATCCTGGATACTCGTGTTCATCCCCTGTCCGGCCTTGGGCGAGTGCGTATGCACCGCGTCTCCTACTAGGAACGCTCTTTCATTGTGTCTTGAAAAATGACTGCCGACGCGCTGTCCAACGCGGTAGGCCGACCACCACGAGACTGAGCCGACTTCCAGAGTGTAAGGGGACATGATCTTGCGTGCGGCATCGATGATGCGGTCGAAAGTGACGTCTTTGGGGTCTGAAAGTGAACTACCGCTCTCGACGGGGATGTACAGCCGGACTTCCTTGTTGCTCCGCGGGACGAGGAGGATGGTACCCGTGGAGGCGCGGAGGTAGCAGACACGGCGAAGGTCGGGGAAGTTGGATTTGGGGATTAGGTCGACGACGCCGAAAACAGAGTCTGTTAGGTCGCCTTCGAGTTGGACTTGAAGTTGCTTTCGAAGCCAACTATGAGCCCCGTCACAGCCTACGATGTATCTGGTTCGGATTCGTTCTTCCACCTCTTTGGCAGCACCATTTGCGGTCTGTTAACGCCTGTTAGTATTACCAGCTGACAGTACTGGTGACATTGGAGTTCTCACATATAGTGTTGAGTTCTCGAGACTATCCGAGGACGCTTGTGGCTGCACCTGGGTCTTGACCAAGAGCACTTCGACGGGATAAACTTCATCCTCATGCAGCAAGGACTCATCGACATTGACCTCGACAGGCTGAGTATTATACTGGATTATAATGTTCCTGTGGCTTAGCAGGTTTTGCTGCATGTGGTATTCGACTCTCGCTATACGGCTCAACAATCAGCAAGTGGTGGCAAAATCATAAAGTCAGTACTCACATTGCTGCAACATGGTCTCCCGCACCTTGCCCAACTCCTCCACCTTATCCTGTATCAGCTGCTCCCTCTCGATCCCGCTTTTGCCATCCTTCTTTTGGCCCCAGATGGCTATTTCTTCTAGTCTCCATGATTCTGTTGCAATTTGAGGCCCGATACCGTACGAGTCAAAGATCTCGTTTGTCGTTGACTTCAGCCCTTCAGCTTTCCCTCGCCGTGTAGGCCCGGGTTTCTTGTCAACCAGCAGGACATTGATGCTGGAGTTTCGGAACCAGTTAGCTAAGGCCAGCCCTGTGAGCAGAGTGTCAGCCTATGTCCCGGCCTCCTTGGACTTTGGACTTGCTTACCAGCTGGTCCAGCACCGATGATGAGTACATCTACTGTTTTGACTTTCATCATCTCGAAAAAGCCTTTGGTGGTTCAAGGCAAGGAACTGAATGGTGTGAGGGTCTCGGGAGTACAACTCAAAGCCGGCCGATACTTGGTGAAAGTACATCGTGAAGATGAGCAGTTTCTCTCATGCTCTTCAGCCCCAAGCACGTTTGTTGACTCCGAGCATCTGCAGAGACCACGACATAAATGCGGTGTACAATCCCGGCCCCATCAGCCGCTTCGAGTCGGCTGGCACCTTGATGGCTGGCTGGGACAAGCTTAGACGGATCATATTCCCAGATCTATTTACCTCTATGCGGATGGGGAAAATGCGGAAGCATCCATCTCAGCCCTGTGCAGTTCATCGTGTCTGGATGTCTTGGTTTCCGAGCCAAGTTCCAGATATCTGTTTTGACCCCGGTGATCGTCATCGTCATCGATCTTTTGGGAGTGTCTTTGATAAGTACCTTTGCACTACTCCAATCGGAAACTCTTCGTCACTGCGTTGATGCTGGAGAGTCAAGGAATCTGATATTGGAGTGGAATGTTCATGCTGTGACGGGAGAGGTGCATGGGTTTACAGGACATGGGCGGGACTAACCTGCTTCTGTTAGATGCCCAAGGTTGTACAAGAAAGGACAAACAAGCCACACAGTTGAAGTGCAGGTAACCCCTCATTTTTGTAGTTGCACAGAAGGACCCTGTCCACAGCAACTATCATGGCAGCTTCCCCAAATGGGTAGCAACCTCCATCATCTTGTCTCATCTCACTGCATTCCCTCGCCTCCCGCCTCTTCAACGAACTCACCAGCACACGCAGCAAACAATCTGTTACCTCGATCTAGAATTCACATCGTGGTGGCGCCGACTCTTCAAGCTGAAGATTGCCCTCCTCCTCGCCGGGCAGCGGCATATTGAACGGAAATGTCTGGTTCCGATTTGCTGCCTCGGATTCATTGATTGTTGAACCTGCTGATTCGGATGTGCCTCAGAAGAACCTGATGGCCTACAAGAAACTACCTACCTCTACTGATTAACCCCTGCTCATAGGAGCTTTCTTCTGCACACCACATGTCTCCTATTTCTCCCATCGGTACAGTGTACTGTGTACCTACTCATCCATCACCAACATCCAAAGTCTGAATATCCGATCAACTGCTTTCCACCATGGACAGCATAGGCATGGGGGGTCAACGATACATACGCGATCTCTGTCTGCATTACCCCTGGGCCAGGAACCAAACAATCGGCACTGAATGTCGATTACATCACTTCTTGGAATAGACTCTTTGTTTCTGGTCAAAAGTCATTGCAGCAAGCACATTACGAATCTTCCCGCTAATGTGCCATCATGGGCCGTGGCTAAAGGTCTTACTGTACATACGGACTTGGGAAGTCGACTGAGGGAAAAATACTCCCACGTATGGCTACAGGAGAGCATAACTGGGCTGAGGCTGATAAGACCTTGTGGTTTCCGGTACCTAGGAAGTACAATCTCTATGACGCCTTTCACTCGCATAAGTCCTTGTGCTGTCCATGACGATGCAATAGCTTTCTGCTATTAACGGATAGACAGTCGGGAATTTCCAGTCATCAAAAATGACAAAATGGCCATCAGCTAGCTCACAAGTCCAAGGCGTTGAACAAAAGGCTGCCATGGTCGACAATGTATTCTGGGTCGAAGGTGGTTTATAACATACGTCTCCTCCATCAACAAAGACACATCAACGCCAATTTCTAGGTCAAGTCGACTTCAACACGACAAACCTGAGCACTACTCGTTACACCCTTATCACGTTCAACAACTCAAATAGCCATTTCATATCCGTTGTCTCACCACATCAACCCAGTACAACCTACCATGGCCCGAGTCCTACCTTCTCCCGGTGTTGAATCACACTCTTTTCACCACAATACCGAAGACAGAGATGTCACCACCTTCAGCCCAGGGACACCACCCTCTCGTTCCGGAGCCCTTCCATCCATGCTCTACCACCACCATCGTCCCACCCCCTCTCCCGACATGATCGACATCCGCTCCTCCTCCACCTCCCTCCTTGACACCCTCGACACCCAAACTCTCTCCTCCCTCCTGAAACCCCCCGGCCGCAAATTCATCCCCTCCCTCCTCCTCTGGGACGAAAAGGGTCAATCCCTTTACGACTCCATCCTCGCCACACCTTCTTACTATCCCTACCGGGTCGAGAACACTCTACTACAAAAACAAATCTCCGACATCGCTTCCACCATCGCTTCTTCGACCACCGACATCCTCGTCGAGCTGGGCGCAGGCAATCTCTCCAAGACCGCTTTGCTGCTTACGGCTCTTGATAGGTGTCTGGACTCTTCTGCAAGTTCAAGTTCAAGAGCGGGCAATGGGAAGGTAGTCTACTACGCTCTCGACGTCGACCGTTCCCTGCTCGAGTCTTCCCTCGCACAACTCCGCAAACGTACTGCAACCCTGCACCACATCGAACTCCGCTCGCTTTTGGGGACCTACGAGGATGGTGCCCGCTGGCTAAGCCAGCCCGATCTGGCGCCGTACAGGAAGACGATGGTCTGGTTGGGGAATAGCATTGCCAATCTTGAGAAGGAGGAAGCTTCGGACCTGTTGGCCAAGTTCACTAGTAGCCAAAAGAATGGAATGATGCAAAACTTGGCGGGGTTCCTGTTGGGGGTAGATGGGTGTTTGGATGAAGAGAAAGTGGAGAGGGCGTATAATGCCCCTGGGGGAGAGAATAGGCGGTGGGTGTTGCATGCGCTGGAGGCTGCTGGGGAGCAGTTACAGCTGCATCTTGGCGAGTCGAAGATGTTTGATGCAAAGAAGTGGAAGTTTGAAGGCAGGTGGGATGTGGGGAGGCAGCGGTATGAGAACTATTTGGTTCCCCTGAAAAGAATGGAGGCGGTGGTTAAGAAAGGGGAGAAGAAAGTGGTGTTGGAGGAAGGCGAGAAGGTGTTTGTGTTGGGAAGCGGAAAGTGGACGGCGAGGGATGTGCAGGGAATTTGTGAGGGGCCGGGATTGGGGTTGAGGAGGAGTTGGCATTCTGAGGGGGATGATTATGGTGAGTTTCCACCGTGAATTCCATTTGTTGTTGATTGATGTTGATTGCTAATAACTATGTGAACAGGCATTTACTGGCTGCAGCCGGGGAAGAAGAGACTTGACAGTGGGATTGACATGAAGAATGATGAAGAGTGTTAGGTAGACCAAGGACTAGACATCGGGCATCACGGCTTTCCATGATTGGGAGGAGTGTTAGATGATATGGTAGATGTATACATCACATAAAAACGAAGGCGAAGTATTAGTCACTAGTTACAAGGATAAGGCATTGGTGATACATAGGAGCTATGGAGTTGTTGTCTAAATTTCTATCTTTGATTTTTGGACATTTTGTTCAAACGTGAAACCACACATATCATTCAAACGAACGCAACTTGTGCAATTACTCGCCTACCAGGCCTTGGACCTTTTTTCCATTTAGGCCCTATAAGGTCCCGCTTCCGTAGCCATCAATAACTCCAAGTTCCCTCGCGGTCAAGCTGTATGTGGCGGAGCCAGATAAACATTGCTCGTTGCGTGGTATCAGTGGTACAGTTTTCATAGGCCGCAGCTTGAGTGAACGGGTTCGACCCTGCTCATGGGCCGAGCTTTGTATTTTTTTAGTCTTCTTTTTGGATCGCGCATCGCTTCATGTCTGTTGGTGTTCGAAGATCAGAACTACCTCTAGGCTTACCACAACACCATCGTCCATTCTCTATTAAGTTATTCATTTGTACATAGTCTAGCAACTATCATTCTCTACCTGACTCTTCTATTCAATACGCGTATTACATCCTGTGGAAATTCAACCTTTGTCTTCCTTCCTTCTTCGTATCGTACAAGCCCAATTATAAATATCCGTTCACCTATACGCCGTCAACCCGATTGAACAACATGTGACTGTTCCTCGTTGTCCCTGTTTTCACCGCTTCCAAAGGTGTTGTATCCAATCCTCTGGCCTCGCTCCTCCTGCCTTGTCCTAGGACGACTGACTCTCTTCTTTTTGACAGAAGACGGGTCACTCAACTGACAAGAGGTATCCTTCAACTGGCCCTCCTTCATGATAAAGCTAGCCCCGAGCGCCAAACACCCAGCCACGAGTGCATACAACCACACATACATAAAGCTCCTCGTATACGCCCCTTTCACCACTTCCTTCAACCAATCCGGCAACTCCCCAATCTTGTCCATATTCGACATTACCTCCTTGATGATGTGCCTTCTGTCGGGCACCCCATCCAACTCTTTTCTGAGTGTCTTTTCCACTACCGAACTGATGATCAAACTCGCTCCGCTCACCCCAAACAGACTTCCCAAGTTCAAACTGAGATAAAACCCCGAAGTAGCCACGGCGACCTGACTCCCACCCCCCTCACCAGGCTTCTTCTTCTTCTTATCCCCTTCCAAAGCAGCAGTCAACCCAATAAACGCCGCCGACAAGCTTACCCCAAACCCAACACCCACCGGGAACCCGTACCCCGTTTCCCACCAGTTTGTTGTTGTGCCCCCTTCCCCTTCGCCTCCTCTCCACCTCAGCCAAATGGCAGTAAAACTCAAATCCGACAACACCACAGCCACCACAATCACCCACTTGTACAGCCCCGTCCGTTTGATCACCAGCCCACTGCCCAGCCCACCCAACACCGTCCCGACTGTAATAAACAGCAGTCGCATTGAGACTTTGATGGACGAGTCCCCATTTACCAGCCTGAAATATAGCGGTACGGAAGTGAACAGCGCCATCTGCGCCACTGTTTGCAGGAACTGGATGGCGTAGGAAGAGAGGACGTTGCGGGTGAGGAATAGGAGGCGTAGAGGGAGGATGGGCTCCCTTGCGTAGAGGGATTCGACGAGCAAAAAGGAGGTGAGGGATAAGAGCCAGAGGAAAAGGGCGATTACTGTGTAAGGGTCTTGAAGGAAGGTGGTTAGAGAGAGGTTATCATCTTTTTGAGAAGGCAGATGTTGGATCCGGTCGAGGAGGAGGAGCAAGGAGACGTTGGAGAGACCGAGGGTGAGGGAGCCGGGGAAGTCAATTCTTTTGAGTTTGGATTTCGCGCTTGAGGCTGAAGAGGGTGAAGAGCAGGAGGATGACGACGGGGAGGGAAAGGACATGGTCCACCAGATGAAGACGAGGCCAAAAGTGTTGAGGGGTACTTGGCAGAGTAGAGACCAGCGCCAGTTCAAGGTGTCGGAGATGATCCCGCCTAGGGAGGGGCCAATGGCCCGGCCGACTTGGTTGATGGCGTAGACATAACCGCGCCAAACGGCGACGTCGCGGATTGGAACGAGGTCTGTTTGATGTCAGTTAGGTAGGTAACTACCTCTACGAACTTTCTAGGTTCGGTGACGGCGTCAGTGAACATACCAACAATCAAGGTAGAGATCAACACCGTAATCCCAGCATTGCCCACACCACACAATCCCCTCCCCAGCAAAACACCCCAAAAGGCAAACCCAGCCCCGGCCAAAATACCACCGAGGATGTAAAACACGTAGGCGATGAGAAGCATCGGCTTCCTCCCGTAGATGTCGCTCAACTTTCCAAACAATGGCTGAGTGACAATGACGCCGATAACGTACGAGGAAATAATCCAGCTTGCTGAAGTCAACTTGTCAAAATCACTGGCGATCTGGCGGAACATGGCCAGGAGGATGGCGCTGTCGGAGTTGACGAGGAAGACGGCCAGGAGGAGGACTAGGTTATTCCTCCATTGCCCGCCTGAGAGGTGGTGAGGATGGTGGTTATGATGGTTTCCATCGGCATGGGTAAGTGTTGAGTCGGAAGATTGGGACAGGTCGCGACGGTAGAGGGAGTCGTCGCCGGTTAGGACGATGGCCTGGCTTTCTTCATCTTGACGGAGGGGAAAGTTGTAGGGTTTGACGATGCTCGAGATGGCTTCTACAGTGCTGGTCGATAGCGAAGAGGAGGAGGAAGAGGATGAAGATGAGGAATATTCCGGTCTCAGTAGTGGTGATGGGGGAGGGTGGAGGAGCGAGGTGTACTCGTCGATGGCCTCAACCGTGTCGAGCGCATCGGCTTCATGCCGCTGTTCGTCGAAGTCAGATACGTTCATCTTGCTGGCTTGAGCTATAACCCATCCATAGACAGACTGTCCGGAACTCTAAATCTCGGGGGTTGAGATCTCTCTATTCTTCCTACACGTTTGTCTGACACGCTTTAACCCCGTGGATAATGGGTTTCCATGTCCTCTTGTGTCTCCCAATTTCTGGCTGAGACATTTGATCGTAATCTCCCGCCACTTCCTCCAGTTCTTCGGTGCTGGTCAACTCATCGAATAGCTGATCGTCATCCATACCTAATTTCTTGCAGAGACAATAGCTGCGGAGGCTTTCTCCCCACCTGTCCACCTAGCAACTATCAGCTTTGATAAAACGATGTTCTCCATCGCTCCTATTCTGTTTGGCAGCCTTTGTTTCCTGAAAGTGACTGCGAATGCTATTTCCACCCTTTTTGCCAGCCAGCCTGCCAGCCAATACGATGGGAAGAGCGTCTCATAGCTGAACAGACCCGGCTGTGTTGGACTTGACAGGCCATTGGACAGGACCGGTTTGGAGGAGGTAATGATTTCCATCGATGTCAGAATTTCATAAGAAAGCAAGGGGGCCATCATCGGCACCTCCACTCCTCGGTCCTCACCGTGCCCGGCCTTTGGCCCTTCAGGTACACAGTCTGAACCCTCCCTCTTCACACTCGTATGGTCGAATTTGGTGGCCAACACACAGCTTGAAGAAGCAATCCTTCGAAACTGGGAATATCCATTCAGCAGAAGCAAATGGAGTGGGGGGTTTTCACCACTGTGGCTTGGAATTGACCCAAAACCGACACTTGTGTACCGTAGCATGATACCAATAGTCTGGATGGTTTATGGGCAATGAGTCTCGGAAGGATGCCCAGATTGCGGAAACGAAGGGTTTCGGGCTGAACACATTCAAGGGAACCGAAGGCGGAAAATGGTGACGTTGGTTGACCAAGCAATTGTTGGCTGCCATTTCAGCGATCACCGCCTGTAAGTGAAGGTTGGCCAATGAGATTTGGCAAAACCGAAGAAGTGGAGCTATGGTAGGTACGTACCTGGGAAGGTACCATTTCATCCCCGCTTTCCTTTCTCGGCCTCAACTTCCACTTCCAACCGCCAAGTCCATTCTCTGGCTTCATCTTTTTCCTCCCGACCACTCAACATGCCAGATGTTTTTCATCTACTTCCTATCGACGATTATCGACTGTCCGTTCCCGTCATGTCACCACTGCTGTCCTGTCAAGTGCGTGCTAATATGCACGGCCGTCACAACCAATGACAGAGAAAATCTGACATCTTCCCTCGTGCTGTGGAAGACAGCGAAAGGCCGTATCTCGATGCCACACATTTGGGCTCAACCTCAGGAAGATGGCCATCAAGACGCTCGGCAGGAACACTGCCCGCCCTGTTCCGTATTCAGGGAAGGCATCCCGGGGCTGGACGGAGAGCTACCGAGATGGTAACTTCGCCCAGTCGTATGCTTCCTTTAGGAATGTGGCTGCACTCCTCCGCGCTGACCATCACATGAAGAACTCCGTGTTGCGTACAGCACATCAGTGCTGCTCCAAGGAATGTACAAGTGTACCGCAAAAGTCGCGAGACGAGATTGGTAAAAGTCCGCGCTCTGTGTCATGCACCTATTCGGACTATCGGGTGTCCTACTTTGACATCTATCTCTACAAATCCGCTTCATCTCCCCATCCAAGTGTTAAGACACTTCCACCTAGCCAAGTGCGGAACAAAAGCAAAAGTATCAACGGTTACACAGAACAACAAGGGAAAAGTCTACGCACCTCATCATGGAGACTTCAGAACTCGATCGCTCGAAGATCTACAAGAGCTGGGAGGTGGACGGCAAGTTCGTCAGTAGCCATGATTTTGATCACTCCTTCACCGTGACGAGTTGCTAACATGAGCATTACAGCATAGTGATGGCCGCGAAGTTACCCTACTTGAATATGTCTACAGCCGTCCGGACATTGACCAGCTGCGCGGGAGCCCACAAAAGGTTCTGGAGGCCATCGACGACTTTGCTCGCTCTGTGACCGGCTTGATCAACATTGGCGAGGCAAAAGGTGCTGTGGTCACAAAACTCATTGCCCATTACAAACCAGCCACCATCCTCGAGCTGGGTGGCTATGTCGGCTACTCCGCCATCTTGTTTGGCGATGCACTGAGAAAGGCTGGCGGAAAGCAATACCATAGTGTCGAGAAGAGCCCCCTTTTTGCTGCTGTTGCCGCAAGCCTTGTCGACTTGGCTGGCCTCAGGGATGTCGTCAGAATTACTGTCGGCACCGGCGCCGAGGGCATCCAACGCCTCTACGATTCAGGCGTGCTCAAGTCTCAGCTTTCCATGGCCTTCTTTGACCACCACAAGCCAAGCTATACGAGTGATCTCAAGCGATGTGAGAGACTCGGCCTTGTTGGCCCAGGCACCGTCTTGGTTGCCGACAACATGATCCTACCGGGAAACCCGCCATATGCTGAGTGGGTCAGAGCCAGTGTGGCCGAGAAGCAGGAGCTTGACAAGAATGCCGAAGAAAAGGGAAATCCCAATCTACAATACAAAAGCAGGTCTATCAAGAGCTGGGAGCCGAGTGGCCATGAAGATGCTCTGGAGATTACTGAGTGCGTGGGCATCCAAGCTTGAATCAAGTTTTCTTATACATTCATTTGTCGTTGACACCCGTGGTCTCTGAAAAAATCTGTAGTTGATTATTGCAGAAACCTGTGAAGGGGGAAAGAGACCTGCTAGCCAGCCACAACCCTCAGATTATCCACAATGGGACATCACACTGCAGAAATCTGTGAAGGAGGTGAGAGACTCGCCAGCCAGCCACAACCCCTAGGTTCGTTTACAATGGGATCAATATCACACCGCAGACAGCATGAGGTGGTTCAGCCCGCTTCATCATCGAGCTGCCGCTCAATAGAGCTGTGGCTGCTTCCTTAGTAAGTCGATGACTGGGTCGGCTCATGCTAGAGCCCAAGACACTCTGGCACAAGGTTCCAAGACACACGATAATTCATTGTTGGTGCAGAGTATACGAGAGCTTGTGTTGTGTTTTCATGCTTCATTGGTTGACGATTGAAACCGCGAGGATCATGGCTTACCATGAGAGCTGCGAAACTCACACCACCCCACGCTGACCCATTACTTCTGAGGCACCCCGACGGTTAGCTACATACGGCGGGGAAGCTGAACGAGTAGCATACTTTGCTTTATATCGCAGATCGCATTGTGACCTTTCCGCCTCTGCCTATCCCACAAGCACCATGCTAACCGTTTGAGGCTTTACAAGCCCACAGGCGAGACCGCCATGTTATGTATGGATGAGACATTGCTTAACGAAAGGTTGAAAGCTTATAAAAAGCTTCAAGGTTGAGTTCTTCAGTTTGAACATGATTGTTCGCTTCGTATGCCCCTTCTCCCTTAAGCCAGATCAAACATTTTTTTTCTCCCCCGTCGTATTGTGCCTTGACTGATACATCTCCAAACCTCATCGACGCCCACCATGAGGCTCACCTCAGTGTGGACCAGCGTCGTGCAGGTCTTTAGTTTCCTCACCTTCTCCTCCCCCGAGGACGGCAACGATCTCTCTTCACAACGTCCCCAATTCCCCATCCCCTTGGAAAACGCTCACCATCACCCCCCTGCCTCCCACCAACCTATCCCCCCAAGCTCCAACAATGCCGCCGAGGATGTAGTCCCCCTCTATACGAGCGGCAGTGAACGTTCCTACATGTTGAAAGACCATCCCGTTGTCGGAACACCCAAAAGTCCCCAGGAAGGAGGTCCCGCCAGAAGCCTCGACTGCCATTACCCCGATATGCAAGATTGGGAGCCTTGCTATGGCCCCGAGAACAGGACTTGCTGGTTGAAGCATAAGTATGAAGATAAGAGGATTGATATTATGACTGATTATGAGAATGAGTGGGAGATTCCGAAGGGGAAGGTCAGAAAGGTTGGTACACCATCCACCGCCCATACTCACTTGTTTTGATATATTGTGACTGACACTAGGTGGACTATTCAAGTTCTACTTGGAAGTCTCAGAGCAACCCATTGCCCCGGATGGTACCACGATGGAGCATGGCAAAGTGTTCAACAGGACTTATCCTGGGCCTTGGCTTGGTAAGTGATTTCCCCTTCAAGTGTCCTCTGAAGACGGTTGAGTGTTGATCCTAATGATTGTTTTTGACAGAGGCTTGCTGGGGTGACTGGATTGGTATGTAATCACATTGTATTTATGATGGAGGAATTATGACTGACAGAGCTATAGAGGTAACTGTAAAGAACAATCTCCGCTGGAACGGCACATCCGTAAGATTTCCCAAGACATTTACAATTCCCATCATCCCTCCCTACACCCATACCCTTCATTTCACTAACACATTCATCAGGTCCACTGGCACGGCTTCCGCCAATTCGAGTCTTTCCACATGGACGGCGTCAACGGAATAACCGAATGCCCCATCGCCCCTGGCGACACCTTCACTTACCGGTTCCGTGCCATGCAATACGGTTCCGCCTGGTACCACAGCCACTACTCCTTACAATACGGCGACGGGCTCTTGGGTCCCATTACCATCTACGGCCCCTCAACAGCAAACTTTGAGGCGGACGAGGCGTTCCGTCCCTTGCTGCTGACAGACTGGAACCACCGGAGCGTGTTCGAAGACTGGCCGCTCATGCTCAAATCTGGCGTGGCGCCGTCAATGACGAATATCCTGATCAACGGGGTGGGACAGTTTGGTTCTGGTGGGAAGCAGAAGGAGAAGTACACGCTTTACTTGGACGAGGGCAAGAAGCATTTGCTAATTTTGATCAACACGGCCGTTGATACGACGTTTGTGTTCTCGATTGACAACCATACCATGGAAGTGATTGAGATGGATTTTGTGCCGATTGTGCCATATAATACTACTAATCTAAAGATTGGGATTGGTAAGTTATCCCCTCCTTCCTTTCATGTAGGTTCAACATACTGACTCGAAGCAAAACACAGGTCAAAGATACCACGTCCTCGTCCACGGCCTAGAAAACCCGTATGAAGCCGAGAGATACGGCAACTACTGGATGCGGGTAATCCCGGCAAGAAAGTGCAGCAAGTTCCCCTACGGTCCTGACGAGCAGATGGGTATCTTCAGGTACAACACTACTTACCAGACCATGGCTTCGGCGCCTGATCCAATGTCGGAACCGCCTCTGTATGAGACCAACTGTGCAGATGAGCCGCTGGATAAGTTGGTGCCGAAGATACCGTGGACCGTTGGCAATCCGGTGAATATCGGTAAGTCCATCCTAGGTGTCATCAGGATCTGTGACAATGAAAAGAGAGCTGACTGAAGGCGCAAGACCCAAACGTCGACCCGAAAAAACTCCCAGCCAACGAGAGCTACATCTTCAACGTCGGCCTGACCATGTCCGGCGGTCCCAACACCAGCACGCCTTATATCCCCGATGACCAACCTTATGTACGTACATTACATTACATTTCCCTTCCATCCCTCTCTCCTCACTAACATTGATCCCACCATCAGGCCCGCTGGGACATGCACATTGCCCCCTTCCGCATCAACTTCTCCGACCCCACGCTCCTCTCCCTCTCGTCCCTCGATTCCCTTATTACCAAACCACACCTCGACATCGTCACTCTGCCCACCTCCAACCCAGACGACGACAAATGGATCTGGATGGTGATCACCGCTCCCGATAAAGTTCCCACCGAGGGGGCCCGGATCTTCTTCCCTGCTGCCCACCCGATTCACCTACACGGACATGACTTTGCGGTGTTGAGACAGAGTAGCAAGAACTGGTATGATGATCCAGAAATCGGTCACATTGGGGAGGGCAAGAGGTGGTTTACCCCCGACAAGTTGAATTGCGACAACAAGAGACTGGATTGCGAGAATCCAACTAGACGGGATGTGGTGCTGTTGCCGGCGAGTGGCTATGTGGTGATTGCTTTCAAGGCGGATAATCCTGGGTAAGTCTTTCCCCTCATTCATTCTTTCTTGGTCCTACTGCTTTCCTTCTTCTTTTGCATTTGGTCATCTCTCCCCCGCCAGAACTTGAATCTTGCAATGTCAGGATGGCTGGCTGGCTGGCTGGCTGGCTGACAACATCCGAAATAACCAGAGCCTGGATCCTCCACTGCCACATTGCCTTCCATGCCTCGTCGGGTCTGGCTATGCAAATCATCGAGAACAAGGACTTGATTCCGGCTATCATGGAGAAGGATAAGCCGGTTATTGAGGAGAAGTGTAGGAAGTGGAGGGAGTGGTATGGAGAGCCGAAGAACCTGTGGGATTGGCACGAGCCAAAGCACTTCCAAGATGATTCGGGTGTGTGATTCTGAGCTCTTGTTGATCGTTGGGGAAATTCCCGGGAGGGAAGTGATGTTTTGTATTGCAACATTACCTAGTTGGGTCGTTGTTATTTGTCGGGAGCGCCTGTCTACCATTCTACCTACTTCTACCCACCCGGGCTACCTACTCTCGAGGCCTCTGAGTGGCAGGAGACTGGGAGAGACCAGGGCTCGGGATAGCGAAGGACGGACTTTAGATTTAGATGGCGATAACTCGTCGATGAAAGGTCGTGACATCCCATCTTGATTCACCCCTTTGTGCGCCGATTAAACATTCAAACACAAGCAAAGCTCATGATCTCAAATTCGATATGGATCATATTACCAATTTGAAATGGCAACAATCTAAATGTTCACGCTCCTAATTGAGCGCAATAATGCCGTTCTATAGCTAACAGCGGAGAGCCTCAGGGGTCCTGCAGTTGTAGTGTAGTTGCAGAAGACGAGATCGATGCCGTAAAGGTACTCATGACGTCAGCGGATCGACGTCATCATTAGACCCTTTTACAGCTACAAAACACCATCCTCTTCCCAATTATACACAATCCTCCTCTTCCAAAGTTCGTTAAAGTAAACAGTCAAGGCTAAGTACCAAAACAATACTCCAAGATACACCCAGTCAACAACAAAAGCCAAATACCACCACCCAAAATGTCTTCCTCCAACACCAACCCTTCTTCTTCTTCTTCCAGCAACAACACCAACGAGCCCCAGCCTAGCATGATCGCCGGACACGCCGAGTACATCAAAGGCGCAGCTGAGGTTCGTCTTTCCCTTTTCCTTTCCCTTTTTTTCTCTCTCCCCCACCCTACCCTCCCTTACTTCCTGCCTTGGGTATACTAACGACGTTTCCTTCAACAGGCCGCTATCGGCAACATCACCGGCTCCCACGCCTGGACCACTACAGGCGAGCAAGACAAGGCGCACGCCAAGGCCTCGCTACGAGCGGCGTCTGAAGGCCGCGACCCGGCCACATCGGGGTACGGATCGGTCGAGGAGACGGCGGGCAAGTTGACGGGTTGCGAGTGGATGAAGAAGGAGGGGGCGGCTAGTAAGAGCCATCAGGAGTAGAAGGGGACTAACTAAGTCTTTGGATGGATGCATGGATGTTTTTTTTTTTTTTGGCTCTGTTTCGAGGAAGTCTTGGAAGGAAGGTCAAGAAGGTTTAAAGACGATACGACATAAGGATGGTACGATATGGGCTGTAATGATAGAAGGAGAGGGAGGGATGGGGTGTACGATAGGAAGAGGTTGAGTATGATACCTAGGTACCCTTTTGGAATGGGGTTAAATGATGATGAAAGATGTACAAGTTACACCACAGCCCTGAGACGACATGTTTTAATGTTTTATATGTGTTTGTGGCCATCCCCATATTGTTACTGGGTTGGAATACGTCAACCTTGAACTCCGGAAGGCAGACGTTCGTCAGGATGCCTTGGGCAAACTAATTTGCCAAGAAAGGAAGTAAACCCATGATATTTTTTTCTTCTTCTTTCAAGACCTTTCGTGAAAATCGTCAAGTGTCTACCTAGCCCACGCACTGCGTCCGTGATGGTCGCCGCAATAGACCATCCAGTTCTCTATTGAAGATGTCAAAGGCATTGCCTCCTGTGCATGGCAGCAAGAAAATGGAAAGAATCGTCAGATATACCCGTAGGTCGCGGCACCATATGGGTCTATGTAGGACGCTGGTGGCAGACGCCAGCATCGTAGCGTACCAAGCAGTTTTCCAGGTCGTGAATGGAACAAGCACAAACCGAGGTACACGAGCTTGGAGGGCGAAGATGGTGAGCAACTTGGGTAAACTGACAAAAGAGATAAACAACGTAATAGTGGGCCTAGTAACTCTTCACGCACTCTAGGTAGAGGCCGCTGGTAGGTAGACACTTTGCTGCTGCTGTCGTTTGAGGACCTTGATGGCTGATTACGTTATGAGTTTACCAGCTTTGATAAACTTTCATATTTGCTATGCAGACTTGGTCGGCTTACCGTATCATTTCGGGGCAAACTGATGAAGGGTTTTAGGTTCCCTAGAAAGCAGACATCCATAATCTGCAAGCATACTGCACCATTGAAGCCCACCAGAAATTGTACACTACATATGCAAGACGGTGATTTTCGATATCTCCACCCTCCAGGGCCCATGAAAAGATAGGCAGGAAAAGGTAGGACATTCGAAGAATCGGATTCATAATGCTCTGGGGTGGCAACACGTCTCTTCCACTTATTTTGGTGGGCATATAATGCACATTTCCGGGCAGTATGCTTACAGATTATGCCTGATTCCTGGGAACCTAGGCTAAACCCCTTGCCCCGAGTTTATACGGTAGACTGAGACACCTCGGTCGAGATGCGTATTAAGGCGACAGAAACAAAAAGAGGTGAACAGACAAACTTTGCCATCGCTCTTCGGATAAGAAGTCCTCTTGACGGTTCACGGGACCGCAACTCGCGGGCCCGGCGCAACCACCGACATGATCGGCCAGACTGGATGCTCGTCGGGGCAAACGCTCTTGATGTCGTTGTCGGCCGGAGCGGGGATGGTACCCGCATCCCGCGCGCTGCGGGCGTAGTGGCGAAACTTTCAGATGCCGGACGGGCGGCTTCAGACGGGTAACGAAGGAAGACTGGAAGAGAAAGTTCCGAAAGAAAATTGACGTTTGCTTTTGGGGGGTCGAGACAAAGGCCCGTTGGGGCCAAAGTTTCGACAAGGCTTTGCCAAGACATTCTCGAAGACGGACCCCATCTCGTCCATCTGGGTCAGTGCATCTTTTTTTTTTTTTTCAAGGTCTTGGCACCTGTCCCGCACACACACGCGCACACACAAAAGGCCTGGCCGCCCGAAGCGCAAGTTGCCTGCCACAACTCACAAGCCTTCAGTTTGCCAGGGATAAGATGATATGCAAAGTGACCCTCAGGACCGTAGGGCGACGAGAACCGCTGTGAGCACCGAGCAGTGAGAAGCGAACCAGGCCTTGTCTGAGGTCAGCATGCCCGCAGTGGTGTAGAGATGCAACACGCAGCAGCAAAAGAAATCTTCCGACCCCCTCCCCCCTTCCCCACAGCTGCCGTAGTGCCTTAACAGGGACCCATAGGAAAGTTGATGCAGCATTGTTTGTCTAAGCTAGCAGGCATCCTTTGCCGTGGCGGGGATCCCGACATGCCCCAGATTTTTGGCAGACGGGAACGGAGGGGCCAGACCCAAGGTGTAAGAGAGAAGGATACCGTATTGTACGTGTTCACTATGAGCATGACCATGTAAATATTCACGATGTTAAGAAAGGGAACCATGTTTGGAAAGCAGGCAAAGTAGGACGACGAAGAGATGCGGTGAGAGGCGCCAGGTTGCACAGCCAGAATCCAGCAAAGGGAAGCAGGTGTGCTGTAATGGGAAATTGGGGTTGGAGGACGAATGGACTTCAGAAAAGTGCAGGTCGGTATTGCAGTCGCAACGCACAGCTGGGCTGGCACACAGACGGCAGGAATGCGGGTACCGTAGAACGTGAACATGTGGGATGCGAGCTGAGCTTTGATAGGCAGGAGGTACCAGAAAGTAGAGTAGGTACACTACCTGATAAACGGACGAGGCCCGTCTCCTAACAAGGAACTTGACAGCGAGTGTTCGTCCAAGTTTTCCCCTTTGGCCTTTCTTTGTCAGAATCTCAATAGGCACCAGAGACCTGGCCTCGGTGGCAACGTTTTGTCAATGACTATACGACATGAGCTATGTGTGATTAGACATGAGGGAGGCAAAGATATCTTCCACCAAGATGGCTCGAGCGGATTTACAAATCTCAACAGGTACACTAGCCATAAGCTGGGTCATGGTCGTCGACAAGGCAACGAACTCTGGGTGAGTGGCAAAGAAAGAAAAAGAGAAGGACTGGACATGATAAATGGTTACTGATAGGTCCTTGCTCAACTCACCTCAGAATAAATCTGGTAATGGGTACCAAATGGTACCCTCACAGGTGATGAGTGTGGGGGAGGGACACGGCAGAAGAACAGCATGTGTCGCATCCGGATCTGGTGTAGTGTATAGCCTATGTTGCCGATGTCTCCTGTTACCTTATCCTATCGAGAAATGCTCAATCTCACCCACCATCCCACGCTCACTGTTTCATGTCGCCTTGATTGATGTGTTGCTTGTGATTCCCCAACCTCTTGTGAGGCTTATCCCCGAGATTGCTTTGTACAGTCAGCCACGCCTACAGAGTAACTGTCCTGGTCCGAAGTACACACACAAAGGCTGTACGGACAGAAGGGGGTTTGTTTGTTGCAAGCGGATATTTGGCTTCCGCTCAGATATCAAGAGACTTGGTGAACTCCATCCGAGTGGTACCCGTATGGGATCGCAGTGAAAAAAAAAAAAAGACAGGGAGACACTTGTCATTGCTTGTTTTTCCCATTCAGTGCTATCCTAATGCTCAACCGCTGCCCCACCAAGGCGGCCATGGCAATGGATTGCGCATTCAAACAAGCCCATCAACTTGCCACACACGTTAGTTTGCTCGGGTGCTGGGAGTCAGAACTCGAGTTGCGAGGGACTGGCCCTCTCTGCCGAGGACGAGTCTCCAACAGTGACGATGGAGGAAAACGAAAACGCTGTCAATGCAGGGGCGACTGGGAGACTGTGAATTTCGGGCCAGCACTCGACTTTTTGCATAACGCTCCAGCTCACCGCCCTCCTCTGCGGCCAAATCAGGAATGGTACGGGTGTCTGATAAAGAGATAAGCAGGGATCGTCAAGGGAAAGCAGGGATGTCTGGCCCTCCAGCGTGTTTGGACCTGAAGCCCATCAATGGAGGGGCAAAGAGAGGGAGTCGTGCAATTCTCGTCAATCACCGACGCTTGTTGTCATTTTGCGTGCGGTCAGTTGGAAGAGTAGTACCATGACGGAGCGCCCGAGTTTAGACCATAGATCTGGGATTGCTCTAGAGACTTCAAGTAGCAGAACCGACGAGAGGTGCAAGAAAGCTTCGAGTGAATGACAAAAACGACCACGAATGCAGACAGGCAAAGATCCCAAATCTGGCCATGCCAATTCGTCAAAACGCTCAGTGACTTGGACCCGGTTGCGTGGGCTGGGGATTTGTAAAACCCTGGCCACGTTGCCAGGTTCCCGTTCTTGAGGTTGCCTGGCGGGGTCGTTCGCCAGCCAGTGAAAGAGTGCAGGGAAAGAGAGAAAAAAAAAACTTTTTCGGCCACGACGCCTCCCACGCCCTGCCACCTAGAGTCAGACCCCCCCTTCCTTAGCCTCTCTACCCCCCCTCCACCGGCGCCATCTTGGTGGATCCCTCAACCATTTCACCACACCGGACCCAAACCTTTTTTTTTTTTTTTGCTGCACAAGCGGACGACCGAAAAAAAAAGCCTGTGCGCACATCCGTCGCCGCTGCAGCAAAATCCGCCGCCCAGCAAAAACCACTCCACAGGGACCTGGTTAAATATTTTGCTCCGTCCCCCGGCCCCGTCCACTGCCCTCCTCTCTTTCCTCTTTTTCTTCAGGTTTGACCTCCATTCTTTTCTACTCGACTGTTTCGTTCTCCGCGAACGCCCTCCACTCAGTCTTTTACCTTTTCTTCGCGCGACTTCTTCAGAAGAGCCGATCTCGAGTCAGGAATCCTTTTCGACCCTCCATCGAAAACCTCCAGGACTCTTCCATTCAAGTCGCTTGCTTCGATCAGACCGACGGCACTTGTTCCTTTTTGATCTCCGACCTAGACAACAGCTTTTTCAGTCGACTCCACGACCCAATCAGTCATCATGTCCGCCAAGGAGAACGCTCAGAGCCTCAAGGTTCTTGATGAGCTCATGCAGAAGCTCACCATCGCCAACGAGGCCGATGCCGTCAAGCAGGCTTCCATCGACGTTGCCTCTTTCATCAACGGTCGCACTCAGGACCTTGATACCCCCGTCAAGTAAGACTTCCTCACATCACAATTTTCATTTTTGCTGGGTCGCATCAGCCGCTCCACTGCCCTCCCCTGGCGTCTGTTTGCCTTGGCGCTGGGAAAAAATTGAGCATCGCAGTTGGCGGTCGAAGCGTACCTACCCCGCCAAAAGTGGAGTGGGGGCGTACTGAAGGACATGGACCACAAATGCCTCTCCGAAGGATCGGTCACCGATATGGTGGTCTCAGCAGGACGGTGTCAAATTTGAGGTCCCGACTCTTGTTGGGGGTCGGATTTATCGAATGAGCATTGTGCATCGCTGCAGGCACCAGTGTCCCAGTCGGGCAATCTCCCTGCCACGCACAAACACAGACACCAAAAAATTTGGAGAACGCTGTGCTAACATGTGAATCACCAATAGGACTGTCGAGGCGCTCAAGAAGCAGCTCGCCAACAAGAAGGATGCCACCGCTCGCGAGAAGGCTCTTTCTGCCATCCAGGCCATCGCTCAGCACAGCGAGGTTTCCGCCCATGTTGAGCCCTACCTGGTCGCCCTCCTCCCCAGCGTCTTCACTGCCGCTGGTGACAAGATCACCGCTGTCAAGAACGCTGCCATTGCTGCCGCTCTTGCCATCGCCGAGGCCATCAACCCCAACGCTGTCAAGGCCACCCTCAACCCTCTCATCGACACCATCCGCAACGCCCAGAAGTGGCCCGAGAAGATGACCGCCCTTGACTTCATTGACACCCTCATCCGCACCGCCCCCGTCCAGCTCGGTCTCCTCGTCCCCGACCTCATCCCCGTTATCTCTGAGGCCATGTGGGATACCAAGAAGGAGGTCAAGGAGCGTGCCTACCAGACCATGGAGAAGCTCTGCCAGCTTATTGTCAACCGTGATATCGAGCGCTTCATCCCTGAGTTGATCAAGTGTATCGCCAAGCCCGAGAACGTCCCCGAGACCGTTCACTTGCTCGGTGCCACCACTTTCGTCACTGAGGTCACTGAGCCCACTCTTGCCCTCATGGTTCCTCTCCTTGATCGTGGTCTCAACGAGCGCGACACCGCCATCAAGCGTAAGGCCGCCGTCATTGTCGACAACATGTGCAAGCTCGTCGACGACCCCAACATTGTTGCTCCCTTCTTGCCCAAGATGATGCCCGCTCTCCAGAAGAACTACGACAACCTCGCTGATCCCGAGGCCCGTGAGAAGACCAAGCAGGCTCTTGACACCCTCGTCCGCGTCGGTAACGTTGTTGACGGCAAGATCCCCGAGGCTCAGAACCCCGGTGATATCAACATTGTCCTTGGCCACCTCAAGGAGGTTCTCGGCAGCAAGTACGCCTCTGCTTTCGAGAAGTCCACCGCCATTGTCGAGTACATCGCCGCCGTTGCTGGTCAGCTCGTTTCTGAGAAGGCCACTGAGTCCTCCATCTGGGCTGAGGCCGTCAAGCCCTACCTCACCGTCATCGTTGGCGACGCTGAGTCCGAGGCTGTCACTGATGCCCTCCGCAAGAAGGCCACCCCCGGTGCCGCTGAGGCCGATGAGGCTGAGGCTGACGATGAGGAGGGTGAGGATCTCTGCAACTGCACCTTCTCTCTTGCCTACGGTGCCAAGATTCTTCTCAACCAGACCCACCTTCGTCTCAAGCGTGGCCAGCGCTACGGTCTTTGCGGTCCCAACGGTTCCGGCAAGTCCACCCTCATGCGCGCCATCAACAACGAGCAGGTCGAGGGTTTCCCCAAGCAGTCCGAGGTCAAGACCGTCTTCGTTGAGCACGACCTTGACTCCGAGGACACTGAGATGACCACCATTGACTGGACCATGAAGAAGCTCAAGGAGGCTGGTGTCGATACCTCCCGCGAGGATGTCGAGGCCAAGCTCGCCGAGTTCGGCTTCAGCCCTGACATGATCAAGAACGACATTTCTGCTCTTTCCGGTGGTTGGAAGATGAAGCTCGCCCTGTGCCGTGCCGTCTTCGAGGCTCCCGATATTCTTCTCCTCGACGAGCCCACTAACCATTTGGATGTCAAGAACGTTAAGTGGCTCGAGGATTACCTCAAGAGCTCTCCTTGCACTTCCATCATCGTCTCTCACGACTCTGGTTTCCTCGACAACGTCTGCCAGCACATTATCCACTACGAGCGCTTCAAGCTTAAGCGTTACCGTGGTAACCTCAAGGACTTCGTCTCTCGTGTCCCCTCTGCCAAGTCCTACTACGAGCTCGGTGCCTCCGAGATGGAGTTCTCCTTCCCCGAGCCCGGTTTCCTCGAGGGTGTCAAGACCAAGGCCAAGGCCATTCTCCGTGCCACCAAGATGTCCTTCCAGTACCCCGGTACCGCCAAGCCCCAGATCTCCGACATCTCCTTCCAGTGCTCGCTCGGCTCCCGTATTGCCGTCATTGGCCCCAACGGTGCCGGCAAGTCCACCCTCATCAACGTCCTCACTGGTGAGCTCATCCCCACCCAGGGTGAGATCTACCAGCACGAGAACATCCGTATCGCCTACATTAAGCAGCACGCTTTCGCCCATATCGATAACCACCTCGACAAGACTCCCTCCGAGTACATCCAGTGGCGTTTCCAGACTGGTGAGGATCGTGAGACCATGGATCGTGCCAACAAGATCATCACCGAGGCCGATGAGGAGGCCATGAACAAGGTCTTCAAGATCGAGGGCACTGCCCGTCGTGTCATTGGCATTCACAGCCGTAGAAAGTTCAAGAACTCCTACGAGTACGAGTGCTCTTTCGCCCTCGGCGAGAACATTGGCATGAAGAACGAGCGCTGGGTCCCCATGATGACCGCTGACAACGCTTGGTTGCCCCGTAACGAGCTTCTCGCTTCTCACCAGAAGATGGTTGCCGATGTCGATATGAAGGAGGCCCTCGCTTCCGGTCAGTTCCGTCCCCTTGTCCGCAAGGAGATCGAGTCTCACTGCGCCAACTTCGGTCTCGATGCCGAGCTTGTTTCTCACTCCCGCATGCGCGGTCTCTCCGGTGGTCAGCGTGTCAAGGTCGTCCTTGCCGCCTGCTCTTGGCAGCGTCCTCACTTGATCGTCCTTGACGAGCCTACCAACTATCTTGACCGTGACTCTCTTGGTGCCCTTTCCAAGGCCCTCAAGAAGTTCGAGGGTGGTGTCATCATCATTACCCACTCTGCCGAGTTCACCAAGGACTTGACTGAGGAAGTCTGGGCTGTCATGGACGGCAAGATGACTCCTTCCGGCCACAACTGGGTCCAGGGCCAGGGCTCTGGTCCTCGTCTCAAGGAGGACGATGGTGAGGAAGAGGAGAAGTTCGATGCCATGGGCAACAAGATCGTCTCCACCAAGAAGAAGGCTAAGCTTTCTTCTGCCGAGCTCCGCAAGAAGAAGAAGGAGCGTATGGCCCGCCGCAAGCGTGGTGAGGAGGTACGTTTAATAATCCACACTCCCTTATTGTTCTGTCAGCAGGTTCACTAACTTTTCCTCAACAGGTCTTCTCTGACGAGGACGACTTCTAAATCACTCGTTGCTGATGGGTGGTGCGTTCAAGACTGATTTCACTTTGTCAATGGAGATCAAAAGTTGCTTTTTCTGGGTCCGGTTTGCATGGTCAGGCATCGTGGGTTTTGCGTCTACTTTGGTGTTATGAGCTTTTAGATCATAATTTCTCTTGCGAGACAACCGTCGCAGCGTATCGTTCTACTGGGTGGCCGGGAGGCAAGGATTCGGAACGCTTGGGGACTGGAGACCCCCGAGATGGTCCTGTTTATCCTAATGTCTTCATGGTGTGTGCCCGTATGGAGGGGAAAAAAGGAGGATACCCAACGTGGATATAACGAAAGAGATGCATGACATTCTAGATGATAGACGACTTAAAAAGTCACACTTGATTACAATAACTCATGTGTATTTGTGCAATGTGCTTCGTTTTGCTGTTGAAATCGAACTCTTCTGTGATATTGGGACGTATTTTTCCCTGATATTTTAAGGCGCCCTGAATACGTCACGTGACCAGAGCATAACAAGTCAAAACCGGCAGATCTTTGGCGGTACGACAGTTGCAACATCGCATCTTCAGCATTGGCGATCCCATATGTTCAGGCCCTCATGAACAATGCATGGCAGCGCAAGTGCGGCGTAGTGAAGCAGCAATGCTCGTTTCTCGTATCTAGTGATACATCGAGCTACCTCATTGTTTGTTTACACTTGACAACAACGGGCAAGCTTGCATCAAACACGCTATTCGTTTACATCTTTGGGTATCATTCGGTTATGTACGCAATTCGCTTTATACAAAACAAGTACTCCCATCTTCCTTCAGTACAATACCACCACCCTTTCCTTTCCCACACTTTCATCCAAAACATGTTATTCCGTTCAAGGAATGACCTCCAACCGATAAACCGCCTCCCAATCCTCAATCTGCTGCTGCGTCTTGCCTCCGTCTCCACCAAATCTCGAAATACCAAATTTGGCCTTCTTCTCCTCCTCCTCCTCTCTCACAATCTCCGACAGTCTCTTACCCCCATCCCCATTGCCTTTACCCGCACCGGGTCTACCAGCAGCAGCAGCAGCAGCAGTACCGACATGACCAGGCTTAGGTCCCTTACCCTTACCCTTACCCGACTTCTTGATCGCACCCACATTACACTTGCCCTTGTTAAAGGCCACATCCGCCGCCCGCTTCCACACGGCGCTCACATCCTTGACCATGTCCAGCGTCCAGAACAAGCGGCAGTCGGCCTCCTCCACCACAAACTGGGCAGGGGTGCCGTCATTGACGTTATCGCGCAGGATCTGGTCGCGCACGTTGACGGCGGCTGCGGCGCTGCGGTTGATGGGGAGCATACTGAACTTGGAGAGAGCCTTCTTCTGGGACTCGGTCTTGGCGAAGGGGAGGTATTTCTGGACGGATGAGTAAATGTTGCGGTACTGCAGGACTTGGGCACCTTTGACGCCGCCGACGCCTTGGATGGGGTTGTGGTTGGGACGGCCGCCCATGGCGATGGATTGGACGCCGCCTTGGATCCTCAAGAATTCCGAGGCCAGGGTGCACGTGGAGGCGCACGCGCCGTCGTAGAGGATGACGATGTTGTCTGCGTCGAAGGGCTGTTGGACAACGCTAGGGTTGAGAGAGCCGTAGCCGGTGATTTCGATGCCCATCCCGTAGGTCTCGTTGGTGGTGGTTAGGTTGTCGTTGAGGTTCCAGCGCATCAGGTTGGTGTACTTGGTTCCCTGGTAGACGTGGGGGGCGAACTTGGCGCCAAAGGAGCGGAAGGGTTGGTTGGTCAGGTTGAGGTCGTAGCGGTAGTTGAACCAGGACTCGTAGTCCTCTACCAGCTCGTAGTCGGGGGTGGTGTACGGGTTTACCCCGGAGACGCGGTCGCTGACGATCTGGGCCATGGCGTTGTACGAGTCGGTTTCCTTCCACCGCGAAAACCCGTCCTGGACGATGGAGGGGAATAACTGGCGGAAGAAGTCGTAACCGAGGAGGATGTAGCCGCCGCCGTTGTTCTGGAAGTCGACAATCAGTTTTGTTTTGCCGGCTGCGACGGCTTCGGCGATGAAATCCTGCACGACGGCTTGGAACTCGGCGATGGAGGCGGAGGAGAAGGCGAACAGGGCGATGACGGCTACGTCTTCGTATCCGGCGCCCTCGAGGAAGTAGCCGGATACGACGGCGTCAGAGGTGATGATGACTGGCTTGGGGTAGCCGAGGACGTTCTCTGCGGGAGCGTCCTCGGGGGACTCGGCGGAGCTGTTGAGGGTCGCGCCGTGGGGGTTGCAGAACTTGGCGTAATAGGCCGCGCCCGAGGTGACGTTCGTCATGTCGGCCTTGACGGCGGCCTGGTTCTCGAGAGTCACACTGGTGCCATTGGCGAAGGTCAGGGTGGTGTTGGCGCCCTGGTAGATGTACCGGATACGGCCGCCGTTGGCGAAAAAGCCGGTAGACTTGCTGCTGGCAAAGGTGGCTTTCTGGTAGAACATGGTATTGTAGTTGGCGTCGGGGTCCTGGCTGATACCGGCGACGTCAATGGTCTTGGCCAGATAGGTGGCGGCGTCGATGCCATTGATCAGCTTGACCACGGAAGCGTTCTTGGGGTTGGCGAGGACGTCCTCGTACACCTTGATAACGGGCAGGGACTTGCCGTCCTCGCTGATGGACACCAGGGAGCGCTGGCGGCGCCACTCGAAGACCCTGGTCAGGGCGTCCGGGTAGAAGACAAAGTGGCCATCATGGCCGGGACCGAAGACGGTGGTGTACAGCTCCTGTTGAAACTGGTACTCGTTGGCGTACTTGTCCGCCTGCAGCTTGGCCTTGACGTTGTCAAGAGCGCCAAAGACGTCGTAAGCCGGGTAGGGGTACTCCTTGGGCGGCTTGGCCTTGTAGGCCGAGTCACTTTGCCAGTCGATGTAGGGCCTGATCGCATCCACAAGCTCGATGGCGGCATCTTTCCCTAGAGGGATTGAGTTAAGACACTCGTATGCAAGAGCTGCTGCCACAGTCGGGGTAGCTTGATGTCTGTCAGCTTACGTTCTCGCATATCGTCTGTCAACATGACAACTCACCTGATGGGTTGGCAGCTTTCTGGGAAGCCCATGAGCTGCTCACAATGGCACACGGCTCACTGGTAGGGACACTTGGACTGGCCGTTGTGGTGATGACTGGCTTAGAAACGGCCGAGTCAATGACGGCGGTCAGTACGGCCGGGACGGCCCAGAAGTGCCCACGCATATCGATACTTGGAAAAAGCTTGACGGCGCGTACACAAGAGACCCAAGAGCCAAACCTCCCTCTGAAGGCATCATGACTCTTTTATACTTTGCCATCTACCACTTCCTATATATACAAACTGGATTTATCTTGCACATTCCCCTTGCGGTCTAGCAGATCCGGGAAGCAGCTGCATGCAAGACGGCCAGCGGGGCCGGGAAGTTGAAGAAACCATTCAGAGCGGCTGGCAAGTCTGCCATGCCCAATCGACAGCTCATGTACTAGACTATGTTGAGCCTAGTCCGGTGTTCAGATAAATCCGGTTTGAAGGAGAATAAGGTATATACAGCATTCTCTCACTCACTTATCAGTTGTCATTATCACGCAATAGTGAAGGTTTCCCTGCTCGAGGCCGGCCAGCCAGGATAGAATCCGTCAACTACGAACCATTTCGAGAGGACTTGTGCCTGGCAGTCCCGGTCATGATGCCTAGCTCCCGGGAAGTTGAAGAGGAATCGAAACTCGGACGGTGAGAGAAAAGAAAGAGGCTTGAAGACAGGGGACACCAGAGTCACCTTCTCGTTGCGGAAGGTGGAGTTGCATCTGTTAGCAGGAAAATCGAGAGATGGACCATGGTCAGTGCTACCGGATAAATCGACTGTGTTCGATGGATAAATCGACTGTGTAGTCTTCGCGGGCTGCCCCCAAGGTTAGTGTTAGGGTTAGTGGTTAGGGTTAGGTGCTAGGGTTAGTCCCGGGGGTGCAGGGGGCCGGTGAGAGGCCCCCGCATATGAATGGGAATTCAACGCTTTAGAAAAGGTAGTTTTAAACTCTTATTTTCGTTGTCAAGACAATGACATTTTGGTAATAACTTGCAGTCGCGAAAGTTGGCGCGAGAAATGCCAAGCTTTGGGTCTTAGCTACGTATCAGTTTGTATGGGCTCCACACAGCGGATTCATCTGGGCACACAGTCGATTTATCCGGCTCGTGGTCAGTCGATGCAGAGAGCGGATGCCGACCCTGGGAACCTTGGGAAAAGACCAATACGAGAGCACGTAATCCGGAAGGTCGCAGAGATGATATTGGATCCATCAATCTTTATTAGTCTCTATACATGCCGCCGTGTGTTACCCATTGCACAGACGGCAAGGACATGTCATGTTGATGCGTGGTTCTCGAGCGTTGCCGTATCGGCTGTTAGGAGATCCTGGTGGTGAATAACAGCTTCACGAAAAGCTGCACTAACACTAACAGTAACACTCACTAGTCGTGGACGTCAGAATTATGCGCACACCGACAACCAGTTTACCACGTTTTGCCGCGCCCTTGGCGAACATCACCACTCGTGGTTACGTTGATGAAAAGGCGTTCACTTCAGGGACGCATACCCGAAGTTTGAGACAAGGTATAGTTCTAGAAGAGGAAGCATTGACTGCTCATGAATTTGCAGTGAGAACCAAGTTCTTGGGTGAAACATCGGCCGAGTTTTGATCATGAAATCTGTGGTGGGTCTGGATGCGGTGCGCTTAATTCTGACAGGAGCGTGGTACATACGCTACAGCAGCATAATGCGTAGTACAGTGCGTGCATGAACTATACGCAGTACAGAGCATGACGGTACCTGACAGCTGACAGCTGGGCTACACTACAATTACCAAGCTTGGCACCGACTGGTGCTGGGCTGGCTCCACATTCGACGACAACATGGGGAGGTACGTACCTCTCCCTCTCTCTCTCTCTCTCTTCTCTTTTCCTCTCCTTCGCATCTTTGTGTCCCGAACTCAAGATCACGTACCCAAAGATGATGGATACAAGAATACCATATAGATCCAGATGCATTGAGTCTCTTTCACCATTGTCTTCATTCATGGCCCGTTTCTCAAAGGGTGCCGGAAGCGGAATCGAACAAGGAAAGGAATGGCCCTCTTCACCACGCTGGAACAACCTCTTTGTGTCGAAAGTTTACTTGTTATGTACATGATATACTCAATATACGTCTTTCATTTGCTCAACATCATGTTCTTCTCTCTCTCTGCTATTGCTATCATCAGATTACGCAAACATGAACGCCGACGAGTCCGACGACGACATTCGTGACTGGAAGTGGGAACCGTTCACCTCAACTATCAACACCATCAAGCAGAACACCTATGACACAGTCCTTGAGGCAACGCAGAATCCAGATGCCGCCTTTCCTATCCCACGATGGACACGTCCCAACTGGCCTCAAGAGGGCGTCACACTTCCCCCAGAAGAAGTTGTCCCGCAGGACGGTGCAACGGCCGTGATCAAGGGTGATGCGACGTCTCGGCTGCGGCCAGCTCTCCTGCCCGAGGACAGAGCGCAGAACCCCACCAGATATGCCCTGCGATATGGAATTTTCCCCGATGATGACTTCCGTGGTCCTCGACACGGCCGGTCACGCATGTCCCCCATAGCGGAAGCCTTCGAGCACGAATTCCAGAATCTGGATCAGGATCCGGCATCGTACTCGCATGCAAACATTGCTCTTTTCAAGAGCAAATTTGGAGAAGAAGAGGTCTATGCCGATGATGAGGACTATCAAAGGGCCTTGTTCTATGGGTTCACGACTAAAGAGGTATTCTTCCACCTGATTTGGTCATCCTCCCCGGTACTAAAATTAAGAGACTAGAAAAGCTGACATCCACCGGTTTAGAGGATCGATTGGAAAGCCGAGCCTTTGCACCCGGACTTTGAACCTCAAGAGAGCAACCTCACTGGGAACCTTCACGAGTATGCATCACCTCCTAACTTTCGGTTGACACTAGTAGCAGAGCTGACTCGTCTATAGTTTACTCGTCAGAGACCAAAAATGGCTCAATATGGACGAGGGCGGCCGGCCAAGATACAATCTTTGCGGTAAAACAGGCGAATACTCTGTGGTGAGTTATTGGCACATAAACCATCTCCCCGTCGTCAACCTCCATTTTACTCGTTATCAACCATGAATACTAGTTGACATCTTTCACAGAACGACGAAGAACTGTGGACAGCACTCCAACCAGCCCTCCAGCTCGTCACCCGGGTTTTACAGATGGATCATCCCTTCTGGCGAGCATGCTTGGACTCTCTCTGCGGAATTGAAGTCCCACCTCACCGCAAGAGCAGAAAACACAAGGACAAAAAGCTCATCTACATCGACCCCAGCGAGCCCAAGGACTGGTTCGCAAAGCAGGGCACTCACATGAGAGCAAACCTCGCCCTCAGCTATATTCAGGAAAGAATAAGCCTTAGCATCAAGTCAAACCGTCAATTCGTGGCTGGACAAGGACCGGGCCGAGACGACATGACCGGTGAGACGCAGCCATACCATCGAAACGACGCTGTCAATTTTCGTCTGGAAGTTGCGATTGCAGCCGAGATCATGTGGCCTCTGCTTGTCCCGCAGTACACCATTGTCGAAAAGCAAAACTGTTCACTCGTGATTGCAACTGTCATTCTTCACGAACTAGCTGTATGTTTTTTTTTTTTTTTTTTTTTTTTTATCTCGTTACCTTCTAATAGCCTGCCATGTAGTAGCTGACTCAGGAACCGCCGTCCGTCGTTGATGAAATAGCATGCCGCTCATTTTGCCATGTATGGCCACGTCGCAGACACTCTAAACCCAGAAGTTCGTCGAGCATGGGACGATCCCTTCTGGGCTAATGAGGGAAAGGCTGAGATTGGATTTGCATTTGAGAACCAGGTAAGCATATCATACCCGTCGTGACCATTAGTCTAGTCACTTGACCTTTCAAACGATAATCCCGCAATCTCAATACTGACAAGTAATTATTACAGCTATGGGGCGGTACCCTCAAACCGCCTCACAAAACCGACATCGCCAGATTTTATCCCTACCGCACATGGCCCATTGACATCTGCCTCTGGCAGTGGCCCGACCCACCCGACCACAAAGACCATGAAAACAGGGCAGACTACCTCCGTGATGCTGTCTTGCCCACAGCACGCGTCGGAACCCTTATTCAGCTCAGGGACGTCCACCGACTATTTCAGCAGAGCTTCTGGGACGCCAACGTTCCGATCTACGGCCACAGGGCCCTGAGATTCACCACCGCCGGAAGACCTTCTTTTGCCGTCCCGCACGACGCAGAACTGAGGAAACAGGATTGGTACGAAACTTTCGGGTTTTCCAAGGGTAAATGGCTGCACTTGGCAGTGCGAGCGTTCAGGGCGGCTGAATATGGGATGGTGGCGGAGTACCTGGGCCATCTCGTTGACGAAGAGCTAGTCGGCGTGCGAACCAAGAGCCGCTGGGACGAGGAGAAAAAGCGGTGGTCTGGCCGTGACGCAGATGTAAAGGCACACATGGAAAAGATCAGAAACAACGCGTTGTCCAGTATGCCTGGAGATGCAGCAGTCAGCGTCACCCAGCTCAACGCGCGCTCTACCACCCAGGAGCTGCTATCCGCCTTGCAAGACTTTTGTAGCTCCGTGTTGGCCGAGCTCCAGCACTCCCAGCGCATGGCGGTCGAATACCTCCAGCTTTCGGATTTCGACAAGAGCTACCTCCAAGTTCAGCTCTGGAAGCTTCAGCAGCGGATCGAGTCCTACGGGCGCAAGGTGCACAGAATCATGAGCCTGTCTCTTCCGGCCAAGATAACCCGCTGGATGTCAATCGTGTTTCTCGATAACCAGCTTCTCTCGTCCATCAGCGAGAGTATCACAAGCATCACGTTACTCTTCTCATCTCTGAAACAAACCAGAACTTACCTGGAAAAGAACACCATCTCTCAGCGCGAATTTGACGAGATTGCAAAGACCATGCCCTCCATCGCGGATACCGTCTTCCGCACCCGGTCCCAGCGCCTGCAAAAGATTGCGCAGCGAGAGTTATTCAACATGCCACTCATGTTCCGTCAACTGTGGGAGAAGTTCCATGTCATCTTTGGGAGAATCAGCACCAAACTCCGCACAGGGACATTACGAGTGAGACCATACATCATGAAGAAGAAGAGGAAGAAGCAAAAGAAGAAGAATGCAAGGAGACAATCAAGCCCTGGCACCGACTATGACTCGGAGCTGTCATTATCACGACTCACCCTCCGAAGCCCCCAGTCGAGAATATCACCAAGATCAGCTTACCCACAGGCGCTGCTGGCATCGGCACCGGCTCCAAGACCAACGACGAGAGTCATGTCCGCTAATGACCCGGAGCAGGAAGCAATCTTGTCAGGACACGCCTTTGCAGGCTTGCAGATTAGACCACGGGCAGAAGGACCAGGAACCACCTTTTCAGGCCACAACTTTGGAAACCTGGAAATCAGATCACGTCCATCAACAGCAGCAGCCGGCGCTAAGCGCGGACGGGATGATGATGATGATGATGATGATGAAGATGAACCACAACTACCAGCCAACAAGCGACAACTGCGCCCGAATCAAGTACTTCCGCCACAGAGATTCGCTCGTGCTCCTGGTGCTGCTGCTGCTGCTGCTGCTCCGTCTTCGTCCCCGGCAGCTGGTGCTTCCCGTTCTGCTACCGGTTCTGCTTGGACTTCTTCTTCTAGCTCTGGGTCTGATGATGATGTTAGTGATAGTTCTAGTGACGAGTCCGGTGGTGAGTCTGGCGGCCCTAAGAGTGATTCTGGTGGTAGATCTGGTGGTTCACCAAGAGCTGGTGCGGAAGGTGCTTCCGAAGACGAAGAGTTGATACCCGAAGGGAGCTACAGCGTAGGCAGCACCAGGAGCCCTGATATCCCCGAAGGCCCCAGCACTGGCTACCCCGGAGATCCCATGGAGATCAGCGACAGCGACAACCGAGGGGGCAGAAGAGGAAGACAAGCAGCGCCTTCTTCCTCTACCCACCACCGCCACCATCGTCATTCCCGTTCCCACTCCTATTCCTCCTCCTCTTCTTCTTCCTCCTACTGCTCAACTTGCTACTCCTCTTCCGAATCCGAAACTGGTATCGTAACCAACGACCCTAACCTCGCCGACCCCTTCATGGACGCTCCCCCTCAACCCAACACCACTATCCCCCCTCAACCTAACACCACCACCACTCCCACCACTCCCACCACTCCCCAACGTAACCCCCCTGCTCGCACATCCCCCCTCCGCACCCCCCACATGCGCGCCCCCTCCCGCTCCCCCTACCGCACCCCTCCCCCTGCCTACCAAAAGACTCCTCCCGTGCACTCCCAAACTCCTCGTCACCCCATCGAAGGCCCTCGTCCCCGTCGCCGATCCCCCGGCCACTCCCCTCTTGAAGGACCCCGCGGCCGTCGACCCCGTCGTCAAGTCCAACCCAACGAAACTCCTCCGCCCTCTTTCCTCAACGCAGTCGGCAGTATCTTCGGCCTCAGCCTCGGCCCGGGCAGTGGCGGACGCGCTGCCACCGACGCTGACATTCGCAATGCTCGCAGCCCTTCTACGCCTGAATTTCGCGCTCCAAGGGGTAGAGATTCTCCCACGCAAATCAGGACTCCAACCTCTGGTATGCGGGGGTTACTTGCACCGTTGGGTCGGTTGAACTTTTTCGGTGGTGATGGTGGTGGTGGTGGTGGTTCTCCACCGGCGGCACCTGCGGCACCTAGGCGGAATGTAGATACTAGAGGGGCGCCTGGCCGTAGAGGTATGGAGATCTATGAACGTCGTAGAGCTCCTTTCGCTGAGATGAATGTTCCGAATGCTCCAAGAGGTAGAGCTGGTGCTTCGGGCGCTCCGAGGGGTGCTCAGGGTGGTAGGGGTGCTGGTGCGAATACTGGAGAACCAAGTGTCGGGTGGGGTGGTCTGGGAGATGTTTTTGGTGATGAGAGGGGTCAAACAGCAGGGCAGAGGGAGAATCCAGGTGATGATGATATGGATATGGACGACGGGATAATGTAGGTCGCGGTTTTTAGGGGGATGGGGACTAAACAAAGGGGTGGCTGTTTGAAGGTTGGAGCGGGTGGACAGAGATGGAGGATAGGGTGTGAATCAAGTTGTCTTATGTAAATCAGGAGGGCCGACTACCTGGGATGGCGCAATGGGAACGGGTCAGTTATTTAGTTTGGATTTGTGGTATACTCTGCGTTTCATGATTGGTTACTTAGTTAGATACATCAACCTTTCTTCAATCTTCGGATCGACTCCTGCTTGTGATTGTCAGCTACTGTATGATTTAATTATATGCTGGAGCCAGTTGATAGCAACTTGAACCACCACAAATGTGCTGAGTGCTTAACGAACCGAGCAGTGAGAACGACTGTCGTCCACTGGCTTTCGTGATCCACTCGGACGTAAATGTTTGCTAAGATACAGACGCAAACTTCTTGCCAAATTTTGCAATCTCATCGTCGATTGCAGCTACTGAGGTCTGTCGATTTCCTCCTCCTCCTCAGCCACTCGCCGCTTTTGCAGAGCCACCTGAGCGTCCATCCGCGTTCAGATGATTTTCTCTCCGATTGCTGTCCGGAACTGTTCTGGCACTGCCTCCAGCTCTTGATTCGCTTTTCTGAAGCCATTCCATATTTTGTTCTTCGATTATGACACGATTATGGGATCGAGAAAAGGAACATAGTCCTCCAACATGCAAGCAAAGGGTTGTTGCGAATACCAGCGGGTCAAAGCAGGGACAACGCACCTCTTGGCCGTCAGAACTGGAAGTTCATTGATACTTTGCCCTCTTCACCTTTCGCTTTCAGCACGCTTGGAGGTTCGCCACCCCTGACATGAATGGGGAAACTTCCTCCCGGGTTTTCAAATTGAGGGAGGGAAGTACGTCCTAGAGGTAATTTGTTAGCCCACTTGCGTCTCTGACACTGAACTTGGTGGCTTCACACTAGGAGTATTGGAAATAGGTGGGGATGGGTGACTCACGGTAGCCATTTGTGGTAGGCACGCGTATCCTGGTGGGCGAAAGTGACAATAATGACCTTTGTGATTGTGGCCGGTGTCTTGGGATCTAGCAGGAAATGACGAATGGCACCAAGGGCTGCTTGAGCTGCATATCTGCTCGGATAACCGTAGATGCCAGTGCTGATGGCGGGGAAAGCGATGGTGGTGAGTCCAGCCTCTGCTGCTATCTGCAGAGAGCGTAGATAGCAGGAGATGAGGAGTTTCTCGCACTCCTGGTGGTTCCCCGATGAATAGACGGGACCGACCGTGTGGATGACCTTTTTGCAAGGCAAGTTATAGGCGTCAGTCATGACAGCGTCACCCGTGTCACATCCACCCTTGGTGCGGCACTCGCGAACCAGCTGGGAGCCGGCGGCACAATGGATGGCACCATCTACGCCTCCGCCACCAAGAAGGGAGTTGTTTGCGGCGTTGACAATGGCATCAACCTGAAGTTTGGTGATGTCTCCGTGGTGGATGGCAATGCGCTTGTTGAGCTCAGACGATGGGGTGGGGAAAGCATTGGAGTCGCCGTCGACGACAACAGGGAGCGTTTGCTTATAGGAGTCTGTCACGCCGAAGCCCTCCTCGGGGAGTACGCCCTCGTCGTAGAGGTCATGGATGCTGGGGATCTCGTGGGACTCTACACGGCGGGCCGAGGACGCCATACTTCTCGTTGCTTGCGAGGCAGCTGTAGTTGTGATGGCTGGAATGGCTCGGGCTGAAATGAATCGAGTTGTGAGTGGACGTCGACTTTGATTGCGTAGAGACACTTGGAGAACGCGGGACAAAAGTCGAACTGAGGACATGAATGGCAAACGAATGGTCTCTGGGTGTGCAGGAAATAGTGAAGTTGGAGAAGAGTGAGTTCAGTTGAGACACAGATACGATACCGAGGGCTTCTGGGCGCCAAGCTTCCTTTATGAGTGAAGATGAAAAGAAAGGCAGGACCGATGACGTTAAACACCTTTCATGACCGCGACAGGCCATAGCTCTGGAAGGCACGACCAATTCTAACCCAACTGAAGAGATGCCGCCGTTGAGTCAAGCATTTCGTGCAGTTACTTGCTTGCCGATTTCACTAGATTTTATTATGAAACCAACGCTTGATGGTTTGGCACAGGAGCAACAACTTGAACTCGTCGGTCGTTCCATTTGTACATTGCTGATGTTCCCATGGACGGGATGACGAAAGGTCGACAGGAAGGACAGGAAAGATACCTAAACCAAAGTACCTGTCCTTATCTTACCTTATCTTCCATTCGTGTCACCGCCCCTAGGTAGAGGTACCTCTAGCTTGGGCGGGCTGAGGCGGGGCACAGCGCTAGGGACGCCCTCAAACCCCTTGTAAGTTCCTGGACGTTCTGGCCCGTACCCCTCCCTCGCTGGCGCCCGTCGTGTGTGCCCATCTCCGACAATTTTGCCAGACACTTATCGCGGCGGTTCCAACTTGTCGCCGTTTGATTCGAGTCTTGCTACCTGACTCACCCCCGTCACCGCACATCACCGCCCGCACAGCCATCCTCTGTCCGACCGACAACCTCTCCGGTTGACTCTAGCCCGTCGTCGCGATAGCAGGTCCTGTCGCCCTCTCCCATATACATACCTAGCCTCCACCTCAGAGAGCCCGCCCGCTTTTCTGCGCAACGCAATCGCATATCGAGGACGTCTGAGAGACTTTGCGACAGCCCACCACCACACACACCACCCAGTCGCAAACCGCACACCACACACACCAACACATCATGACCGACGCCGTCGTAGATGCCGCTGCCAAGATGCAGCTGGCCGACGCCCCCGTCGACCCCAATGCCCCCAAGCTCGTTCTCGACGAGGAGACCGGCGAGATGGTCTCCAAGGGCGAGCTCAAGAAGCGTCTGGCCAAGCGCGCAAAGAAGGCCATCAAGGAGAAGAACAAGGACGACAAGAAGAACGTCGCCGCTACGACCGCCGCTGCCCAAGACGGTGCCACCCCCAAGAAGCAGACCCCTAAGCCTGAAGAGGCCCCCATCGACACCCAGGCCATGTTCAAGCAGGGTTTCCTTAACGACGTCTACAACGAGCGCCCCGTCAAGCCCGTCTTCACCCGTTTCCCTCCCGAGCCCAACGGCTTCCTCCATATCGGCCACGCCAAGGCCATTGCCATCAACTTCGGCTTTGCCAAATACCACGGCGGCAACTGTTACCTCCGATTCGACGACACCAACCCCGAGGCCGAGGAGGAAATCTACTTCACCGCCATCGAGGACACGGTCCGCTGGCTCGGCTTCACCCCCTACAAGATCACGTACTCGTCCGACAACTTCCAGAAGCTGTACGACCTGGCCGAAAAGCTGATTGGCCTCGACAAGGCCTACGTCTGCCACTGCAACGATGACGAGATCAAGCTCCAGCGTGGAGGTGAGAAGGGCTCCAGCCCCCGTTTCCGCTGCAAGCACGCCGAGCAGTCCGTCGAGGAGAACCTCCAAAAGTTCCGCGACATGCGCGACGGGAAATACAAGCCCAGGGAAGCTTTCCTTCGCATGAAGCAGGATATCACCGACGGCAACCCCCAGATGTGGGATCTTGCCGCTTACAGAGTCCTTGACAAGCCGCACCACAGGACCGGAAGCCAGTGGAAGATCTACCCTACCTATGACTTCACCCACTGTCTATGCGATAGCTTCGAGGGCATCACTCACTCCCTCTGCACCACCGAGTTCGTGCTCAGCCGTGTCTCGTACGAGTGGCTCAATAAGTCTCTCGAAGTCTACGAGCCCATGCAGCGCGAGTACGGTCGTCTTAGCTTGTCCGGCACCGTGCTCTCCAAGCGCAAGCTCAAGGAGCTGGTCGACCGCAAGATTGTCCGCGGCTGGGACGACCCCCGTCTGTACACGCTGATCGCCGTTCGCCGCAGAGGTGTTCCTCCCGGCGCCATCCTCGAGTTCGTCAACGAGCTCGGCGTCACCACCTCCAACAGCATCATCCAGATTGTCCGTTTTGAGCAGACCATCCGCCGCTACCTCGAGCGCACCGTGCCCCGCCTGATGCTCGTGCTTGACCCCGTTCCCGTCGTGATCGAGGATGCTGACGAGTTCGACGGTTCCGAGCTCACCGTGCCTTTCTCGTCCAAGAACGCTGCTATGGGCGACCACAAGATCAAGTTCACCAAAACCGTTTACATTGACCGCTCCGACTTCCGTGAGGTCGACTCCAAGGACTACTTTCGCCTCGCCCCCGGCAAGACCGTCGGCCTTCTCCAGGCCCCCTTCCCCATCAAGGCCACCAGCTTCACCAAGGACGAGACCACGGGCAAGGTCACCGAGATCCGCGCCGTCTTCGACCGTGAGACCAAGAAGCCCAAGACCTTTATCCAGTGGGTTGGCACCGACGGCTCTCGCAAGTGTGAGGTTCGCGTCTACAACCAACTGTTTAAGTCGGAGAACCCCGCTGCTGCCGAGGGCGGCTGGTTGAGCGACATAAACCCCGAGAGCGAGGTTGTCTACCCTGATGCCCTTATCGAGTCTGGCTTCGACGAGGTCAAGCGCCGCGCTCCTTGGCCTGAGGCGGCTGGTGAGAGCGAGCTTGGCAAGGGCGGTCCTGAGAGTGTCCGCTTCCAGGCTATGCGTGTTGCTTACTTTGTAAGTTCCCCCCTTTCCCTGACACTATCTCTGAATTGAAACTAACCGATAGTTTTGCAGGCCCTGGACAAGGAAAGCACAGATGACAAGATCGTTCTTAACCGCATTGTCTCGCTCAAGGAGGATAAGGAGAAGAACTAAGCCGTTGTCAGCGAATTAAGAAAAGAAATTTGTCGGAAAAATATAGAATTGAATGATTATGAGTGTATGAGCAAATTTTGGCCCCGAGATATCTCTTTTTTTTTTTAGGTTTACGGTGTCCAGATGGAGTAGCGGAGTTGAAAATGACATGGCATCATGAATGCTTATTTGCAAAAATTACTTGGCTATCCGTGTGTTGCCGTTTCAATATCTTTGTGTCTGACTGATATGCTGTTCTCTTCTTTCTTTTTACCCTTTTTTCCCCGTCTTCCTCCTCAAAAACGTGCCTAGCTAGTGCTTTGGCCACACCCTCTTTGGTTGTTACAGCTCATCTTGCCCTGTCACACTGACCTAAGAGGTAATTGAAAATAAGATAAGTAATAGAGGTGAGGTCTTCGTTGGAGAGTCGCCCACCAAAAATGGCGTATGCGAGTGCTACATACGAGTTCCTAGATCACCTCACACATGGGTCTGACCTCGGACTAAAATCGGAGCGCTAAGACTGCGCTAAGACAGACCTCGGACTACGATCGGAGCGCTATAACGTATATAGAAATATATATTCTTATTATACTTCTCTAACAACCATTTAAATTCAAAGAGTAACCTTACCTACTAGGTAGACCAATTAAAAATATATTCTAAACTAATTTACAATTTACACTTTATTTAATTTGAATCCTTACTTTAATTTCTATATTTATATCGTATTATATATATATATATCGGTTTATAATAAATTTTAAATTAGTCTAGGACCGGTTTAAGACCTATCCAATACAAATCTTTTATAAATTTGCTTTTTTATACTATAACTTACTAGTATAAATAAATATATAAATAAACAAAAGTAATTATATTAACCTTAAATAAGTCTCTATTTAATTATTATACTTAATAAGCAGGATAAAATATATATAAGTTTAAAACCGATCCCCGACCGAGCTAGGATATTTCTTTATTCTTTTTACTATTTTTTTATTATCTATTATTAGAAGTTATACTCTTCTAAATTCGGTCTAAAACTAATTTAAAATAAATTTAAAATCTATTTCCTTTATTAACCTTTCTTTATTTTTCTTTCTTACTATCTACTACCTCTACCTACTATAACGTTAAAGTACTAATAGTTAAATATTTTTAAACGTTATATTAAAGGTACTAATAGTAAAAAATTAAAGGGTCTTCTTCTATTTAAGGTTAATAAAGTAAATTCTAATCTATATTTAATCCTAAACTAATCCCTAATAGATTATTAATATAAAAATTTTAGAACGGAAAGTTGGTTATTTATATTAATAAAGTATACTATTGGACTTTTATTAAAGGAAAGGCACTTTATTAGTATATAGTAAGTAATTAAAAGTTTATTAAGTAATTTATATAAAATTAATTACTAATTAATATAAGTATAATTTTTTTTCGAAATATATTTATTAAATATATTAAATATTATTTTAATATAGAAGGTAAACCGTATAAAATTACTTCGCGGGATACCCTCAATAAGAATAGAATTATTAGAAAGGTTTTTAAAATTATATTTAATATAGATTATAAAGTAGTAGGTATAGAATTAATTCTAAATAGGTTATAAATAAATTATAAATTGATTTATTATAGTTTTTTACAATTCCCTTATTAAATATTATAAGGCTTTCCTTATTCGAAAAGTAGTATTATAAGAGTTAAAAAAAGTAATTATTGAAAGATAAAACTAAAAGAGGGTAATAAGAAAAGGAAAAGAAAAAGAGAAAATAGGAATTAGAGATAAAAGAATAGAAAACGAAGCTATAGAAAATATAGAAATAGGTAGTAAGGATATAGAGGATATAAAAATAAAAATAGAGAATATATATTACCTCTAAGGACCTAATAACTAATAGAAAATTAATCCAAAACTAATTATAAATTTATATTAAATAATAATACTCCTTACAACTATTCGCTTCTAATTATAGTTACTTCCTAATATTATTTATATAATTTCAATTAAAATATAGTATTAATTATAGATTAATTTAAGATTAGTTATAGTCTAAATTTAGAAGAATTCGGTTATTTTATACTATTAAATTAAGAAATAAATACTTTCCTAGAATTCGCTAATTAATTAAACGATTCTCTCCCTATAGAATTTAATTTTACTATCCCTAAACTATTAATCGCCTCTAGAAATATAAGAATTATTTAATATAATTATAAAAGTAATTTATTAATTCCTTAAATTAATATTAGACCTATTTAGGGCTTATTTATAATTAATTTTACTACCCCTACTTTACCTCCTTATATTACTAATACTAAACTAGTTTAAAATTTATTTATAATTAATCTTACTATATTTACCTTACTTCTTTATATTACTAATATTAAACCGGTTTAGGATTTATTTACAATTAATTCTATTACCCCTACTTTATTTCCTTATATTATTAATACTAGACCGGTTTAGGATTTATTTATAATTAATCCTATTACCCCTACTTTACTTCTTTGTATTATTAATATTAGACCGGTTTAAGACTTATTTACAATTAATTTTATTATATTTACTTTACTTCTTTATATTATTAATACTAAACCGGTTTAAAATTTATTTACAACCAATTTTATTATTCCTAATTTATTGGCTCGCCCTATAAATATAAGTCCTACCCCCCCCTAATTCCTTACTTCTCTATATTAATATAAGATTTATACGAAATTAATTTATAATAGATCTTACTACCCCTAGCCTATTAATACCTCCTATAAAGGTAGGACCCGTTTTAAATTAATTTAGAATTAATCCTACTATTCTTAAATATATTTTAATTATAACGAATACGGATACTTTTTATATTTATAAAGAGGATAATATATTCCAACCAAACTTCAAAATAATTTACTTTAAAAATAGTCCGAAAAAAGGTTAAATAAATAATTATTAATTAATCTTAAACCTATCTATAACCTATATACTAATTATATACCAATTATTTTTATATCCTTATTTATATTTAATAAAATGGTAGGTATTTCTATTTTATAACTAGGAAGGAGACTATATAAATATCTTTAATTATATTATTTACAATAGAGAAAATTGAATATATAAATATTTAATTTATTTTAAATTAAAATAAAATTAATTTTAATTTATTTTAGGCCTTCTACCCTCTCGCTATATACAACCTTTTTATAAAATATAGTAGTACTACTATATTTATCCTCAAAAAATATAAGAAAATACTATACGGAAGAAAATTGAATTAAAATAAATTCCCAATTAATTTAATACTACTTTATAATTTAATATTAGAAAGTAAAATAATTATAATATAACTTCAAAAGGCCTTACCCGTTTATTAACCTATAAAAGAAAAGTAATAGTTCGGGAATAATATTCGGGTATTCCTATTTAATTTATATTTATATTAGGTTCGGAATAGGTCTGGAATTAATTAAAATTTAATTATAAAATAATTAAAAATTAATTTGTAGAATAATAAACGAATTATATTTAACCTTATTTATACAATACTTTTTATTTATATAATTCCCCCTCCTACCCCCCCTCCCCCTTCTTTTATTTTTTTTAAAATATTATATATATTTTATATACTTTTATTAAAAGTATATTTATTCTAAAATTAATTTGATATAAAATCCAATATTAATCCTTATTATATCTTTTACTACCTTTAACCTATATA